AATGGTGGGAGAAGATAAAACTTCCCAAGAACTATGCTCAAGCCCTCGAGCTTGTAGATCAACACCTTGCCTACTTTCCCAAGTTCCTGGTTCACAAGAACAAGCAGCGCCTCACTCGCTTGACTCAAGTGAACCTGCGAATAAGGCGGTTAGCCAAGGAAGAGGAGCGTCTCGGAGAAAGGCTTGTGCCTAGACTCGCACCCAAGGTTCGCCGACGAGAGGAGGGCCGAGAGCGCAAGGCACTTGCTGCCGCAAAGGTCGAGCGCGCGATTGAGCGAGTGCTGATTGAACGTCTGCGCAGTGGTGCGTATGGTGACCGACCGTAAGTGCATCCTTTTGTTTCTGCCTGCATGCCCTGCTATGATTATCACTTTTTAACCCTGAGGTCCACGCTGAGGATCAAAAAACGCAACACTCTAATTTTTTAATGAGCATCAACACATATTGTTCTTGTAGTCGTTACTGTATTTTTTTTCCAGAGACTGACTTGAATATAGCATCAATGTCGAACCCAATGTCTGGAAACGAGTTATGCGTGGCCTAGAGAAAGAAGGCCAACTTAAGGGAGATCAAGACCTCGACGACGGTATTGAGGATGAGGATGAGGAGAATGAGTACGAGCAGGAGATGGAGAACGGTGTTGGAGAGGTCGAGTATGTCAGTGACATTGAGGGCGAATCAGACGACGAGATGGAAGACTTCGAGGATTGGATAGGAGGCCAGAGTCCAGACGACGGCACGAGCGGTGAGGACGAGGAGAGTGGTAGCGATGAAGAGGAAGAAGACGTGTCTGAAGACGAAGACACGGCGGCGCTTAAGAAAACTCTGGCCAATCTCAAGCGCAAGCGTCCCGCCGGCCCACCACCAAAACCCAAGAAGAAGCCTTCAAAGGACTCAAAGGGCCCCAAACGGAAGATCGAATACGAAATGGAGAGGGCGCCGACAAGAGAGGCTATGCACATTTGATACCCATATGGTTATCCTGTTGGCGTTTGAGTTTGCCATTGTGAGAATAAGCGCACAATGGATTGGCGCAACATGTCTCACAATGGCTAACAGAGCAAGTTATATAACAAAGATTTTAGTCTTAGACTCACCTCTTGCTTTTAACTACACCATGGTCCAGCTATATGCAATTTCAGGCAGTCTAGTTCCTGCGTCACTTACCAAGTCAGACGAAGAAGGATTTGAAGATTTTGCAAAGGCGTTGATTAATGCAGCAAAGCCACCCGTTTATAACGCAACAGAAGACATTGATGGGACGCTAGAGTCGTTAAATGCGCACTCTGTTCCTGAGTGGCAGACGGGTCTCTTTGTCGGCATAGGCCTCGTCCCGCCCATATGCGCTACGCTTGATATATCGACACGCAAGTTACGCCGTGCTGGCAAACTCATGCTCCGGAAAATTGGCTTGGAGAAGGAAGCACTGGCGCTAGAAGCAGGCGCTAAACGCGCCGATCCTGGTTCATACGAACGAGTGGTATATGACGTATCTGCGCACAATGAAGTTTCTGCGCATCTTGATATCGGCAAGAGTAACGAGTCGGCGGCCACGCCTGAAATTCCCGACGAGCTGTTGGACCGAGTCATGCGCCCGGTTTCTTTTTCACGAAATGAGTCAAAAAAGGCGCAACATGTATGAGATAATTGATGGTGAACGCAGGGTATGGGGAAAGTGGTGATGGCAGTCATGGTAGCGACGATGATGAATTTCTCAAACTCATGTATTCTTACTCACAACTGCACAAATGTAACCTTGTCAATAAACTAGAGACATAGGAAGATATCGGAAAAAAATTTCGGCTTGGACCAAAGTCACTGACTATACGGGTAGCCTCGTCTCGGGGCGCGTGATATGTATGTTTCTTTTTGAAACGGACGAACAGGGCATATGAACAGGGGGAGGGTGCATTGCATGTGGTCACAGCGGTTAAGATGTAATGTGACAGGCAGGACATATGAAAGAGAGTCTAGTCGGATGAAGCATTCCCCACAGACCTCAAAGCTTTCAGCCCCACACTTCTCGATGCTAGCCTTGGTCACACCACACTCTATGTATCCCATGGCGATGGGGGATCTGCCCTCCAGGCGTTGCGGAAACGCTTCCAACTGCCTGGTTCCGATAGCTCTCGAACTTTGGAAGCTTCTTCGTGTTCCCTGCAGCGGTACCCATGGGAAGATAGACAGGGTGGCCTACGCCTTTTGGCAAGCCGTCAAGCAAATGTCTTGTGCATGCCGAAGCTTCGGTCTCTCTCTCGGCATCACAGGGTCCGGGGCAGCAAGTTGCCTTGGTAGCCTCACGAGCATCAGCCATGTCCGACATCATCGTTGCCCCGGAATTTCCCAAGACAGCAAGCCGGCCAGCTACTGCAGACGTAGTACTTGGGGTAGCTTGGGCGAATACGCGACAAATCAAACAATTGGGGAGCCCTGGCCCACCCCAGATGGCCGGGTAGCATCTTTTACTCCGCACGCCAAACTCCACAGGGTCTGGGATCCATTCATACTCAACGATCCAACGTCATCCGCTCAAGCAATTGTGGAGATGCCGCCGCTCAACATGGCTTGTTTGCCGCCAATCCTGGGGACATGGTGGGCAGACGCGACAGGATGCTACAAGGCCTCGTGTTGGAGACTCGCCTTTATTAAGAAGGAAGCTGTCGCGCCCGTGGCCATACCTCGCTACCCTCCCACTCTCATCGGCTTTGCAATCTCACGATGAAGAAGTTCTACGGCCTTAGGGGCACGAAGCTCAATGTTGCCATTGCTGTTATAGCAGGCACTGATTTTGCTCTTTTCGGTTATGGTACGCGTCTTTGCATAGTTATAGTTTCACGTTGCTGGCTCGACTTCAGACTGACAATGCTTCAGACCAAGGTGTTATGGGCGGTCTGCTCACACTAAAGTCTTTTCTTAGATACTTTCCCGAGATTGACAGCGTCAACCCGCCCCCAGGAAGCTCCACGAGCCATGCTGCGACAATCCAGGCCATCACCGGTTAGTATTTCACATACTGGATGTAAACATTTAGTCCTAACACCCTCCAGTCGGTGCATACACCCTTGGTTGCTTTTTCGGCGCAGTCGCCACCATCTGGCTCGGAAACATGCTTGGACGCAAAAAGACCATCTTCATCGGCTCTGCTATCATGATTGTCGGCGCTATCCTCCAAACCGCATCTTTTGGACTTGCTCAACTCATCGTCGGACGATGGATTACTGGTTTTGGAAACGGCATGAATACTAGTACGGTCCCAACATGGCAATCAGAGACATCCAAGCCCCATCGCAGAGGCCAAATGGTCATGATTGAAGGTTCTCTGATTGTCTTTGGTGTCATGTTGAGCTACTGGCTTGATCTTGGCTTCTCGTTCCTGGAGCCTAGCAGCATCGCCTGGCGCTTCCCTATTGCCTTTCAGATCATTTTGGCTCTATTCATTATCACCTTGATCCCGGGTCTCCCTGAAAGTCCGCGTTGGCTAGTGCTCAAAGGCCGAGAGGACGAGGCTCTAGAGGTGCTAGCTGCGCTGAGCGACCTTCCTCCAACCGACAAGAAGATCGAGGCAGAGTTCCAGGCTGTCAAGGATGTCATTGCGGAAATGTCACAAGGTGGCTTCCGCGACTGCTTCAAGTTCAACAGGAACCGCAATTTCCACCGTACTGTGTTGGCTTATGTCAACCAGATGTTCCAGCAGGTGAGCTTTTACTGATAAAAGCTGGCATGATACATTCTAACAGGATATTCTAGATTTCTGGTATCAATCTCGTCACGTACTACGCTGCTACCATTTTCGAAAACTCGATTGGCCTTTCGCCTTTCTTGAGTCGTCTCTTGTCTGCCTGCAACGGTACTGAGTACTGGATTGCAAGTTGGATTGCCATCTTCACAATTGAGAAGTTTGGTCGCCGTTCTTTGATGATATTTGGTGCAACAGGCATGTCAATCTCCATGGCCATTCTGGCTGGTGCTACTAGCAACATTGGTAACAAGAGCTTGGGATTGCTCGCGGTATGTTGCTTTACATGTTGATACACTTCACACGGAACTAACGTATACAGACTGTCATGCTTTTTGTCTTCAACTCATTCTTCGCCGTTGGATGGCTAGGTATGACATGGTTGTATCCTGCTGAGATTACCCCACTATCTATTCGTGCCCCAGCCAACGCCATTTCCACCACAGCCAGTAAGTTTTTACTGCAAGAATTGACTTCCAGGTCCCGACTAACCCGCTCTAGACTGGATCTTCAACTTCCTAGTCGTCATGATCACACCCCCCGCTTTCGCAAACATTGGCTACCAAACCTACATCATCTTCGCCGTCATCAACGCCGCTATTGTACCTTCCGTCTACTTCTTCTTCCCAGAAACTGCCTACCGCTCCCTCGAAGAAATGGACGAAATTTTCCACAATACCACAAACGCTTTCAACGTTGTCAAAATTGCAAACGAGCTGCCGCACCGCTACGACAAGCGCGGCGAGCTCCTCATCAATTACGCGGATACGGAGCAGGCGCACGAAGCAGAGCGTAGGCGCAGTTCAGTCGTTGGTGCACAAACGAGCGGGAGATCGATAGAGAAGGATACGGAGACTAAGGAACATGTAGAAAACGGGGGTGTGCTGCAAGGTTCGAAATAGGTAATGTGTTAATAGCTTATACATGACGGAATATCATTTTGATACTGGTTCCCCTGACTACGAAACTCTTGGAGTTAACTAACTTTAACTATTGGAATGCTAACCCTTTGTCCCAATGTTGCTATGTCTCGTCCCTTGTATGTAGTTGTCTTAGCGCCGATTAAGGTAGTGACAGCCGATGCCTTCCGCATACTCCGCATTCTCCGCACTTGACCACACTTCCCCTCTTCTCTTACATCCTATTCTCAAGAAAGAAAGAAAGAAAGAAAGAAAAGAAAGAGAGCGAACACAATCAATTATCCGTTTGCTCTATCTCACACTTGACCAAGCTACTATCCAACTCTTCCAGCAAGACCAACCAAATGTTCTTCATCCCGTTCGTCCTCTTACTCGCAACAGCCTGGGCCATCCTCGGCGTCCTCCTCGCAAAATGGCTCAAGCAAGCAGGCTACGCGCGCCCATTCCGAGGACGAGAATTTACAGATACTGAGTTATACGGGTCCGGGGTAGGAGTAGGCAGTCAAAGAGGGATGCCAGACTTCGGTCAAGGTCGTGTAAAAGGCGTTTAAACCCTCATTTCAATGTAACAGGAGGAATAATTCATTATACTATACATCAGGTACTACGGGTCTATCTACGGAGCCGCCAAAGGAGCCCCATACGGCACAGCCTTTACACTCTTCACATCCATATGCCCATACCTCTTGCTATCCTTCTTCAGCTCCTCTGCCCACGCGCCAAGATCCTTCAAAAACGCCGCGTAATTACCCTCATCGCTCAGATCAATCGGCTGCTCATCTTTACCCAGCTGCTTGATCTGCGCGCCCGCAGCCGCAATCGCAGTCCCAAAATCGCCATCTTCCATGCGCTGCTTAATCGCGGCGTCAACCTCGCCGGCGAGGATCTGCCGTGTGAGTTCGGGCTCCAGGCATACGGGGCGAGCGATGCCGATGCCGTCGACGGTCGATAGCGCATCGATCATTGCGGGAGCGGTTTTGAAGCCGCCGGTGATGTACGTCTTTGTTTTCGACAGCGAGGGAGTGATTTTCTCGGCAAAATCAAGGAAGAAGGCTTCGCGCTTCTTGGTGGACTCGCGCTGGTGCTTGAACGCCATGTGCTCGTACGTTCCACCGGACAGTTCTACAAAGTCGAACGAGTTGGACTCGAGGAGCTGGCACAGCGTCGCCGCATCCTCTGTATTGAAGCCTTTGTCTTGGAATTCGACCGAGTTGAGCTTGATACTGAGGATGAAGCTGGGAGAGGTGCGTTTGCGGATTTCTTGCCCGATTTCGGTGATGATGCGGGCGCGGTTTTCGAGGGAGCCACCGTAGGCGTCGGTGCGGAGGTTGGTGGATGGGGAGAGGAATTGCGCGAGGAGGTAGCCGTGGGCGCCGTGGAGTTGGATGCCGTCGTAGCCAGCCTTCTCGAGATATTCTGCGGCATGGGCGAAGCCATTGATTACATTTTTGATATCTTCCTCAGTGGCGGCGCGGGGCTTTGCAAAGCTCATGCCCATTGGGTTGCCGGTGAGCTGCACGTCGGAGGCGGAGATGGGGTTCTTTTGGATGTTTTCTGTGACTTGTCGTCCAGGATGGGATACTTGTCCCACGATCAATGAACCATGTTTCTTGGATTGAACTGCAATTTCCTTGAACATTTCGAAGCGTTCACCTTCAAACTTTGCGTCGCGGGGGATAATGGGGTTACCGGCAGCCTCTAGGTGGTCGTACTCGATCATAATGTTTCCAGTCAGGATAACGCCGAATTGGCCTTCACCCCATCGCCGGTAGACGTTGACCAGTTCCTTGGATGGGACGCCACGGATCTCAAGGACATCGGGGTCGAATGAGGACAGTCGTTCAGTCATGGCGCCCTTGAGGAACCGGTTCTGTGCAGTGCGTTTGGAGAAGACAAAGTCGAGGGGCTTGCCCAATGGGGCTGGGTCCCTGTGCTCTGCTTCATATCTTTGTGGTGCCATGTTGAAAATGTGGAAAAAAACAGTCTTTCTGGGTATCTTTACAAAAGAAGAAACAAAATTGGTGTAGTTAATGCTGCTCAAGAATGGGTGTAAAAGGTTCTATATCTATATGTGCTAGAAAGACTAGTTATGACGGAAAGTTCTAGTCTACAAAACACGTCGTCACTAATCTAAGTTTTACTGTATTTCTAAGCTTTCCTATGTCCGTTGTCAACTATGCACACGAACGGATCCATAACGACGTCATAGACGCTCTATATGGTTGGACATTCGGCAGTGCTGTGTCGGCGAGCTTGCTTCGGCAGACGTGCCTCGGCAAGGCTAATACCGGCAGATATAGGCGAATGACATGTCAATCTACTAAAGGCTTTCGCCGGGTTGGGTTCGGGATTGGGTTAGGGTCGTTGGTGCGGACAATTGTGGGGCGGACGAGTGGCCATGAACAGTGTAGCCAGGGTAGTTGATATCGGCCCGATGAAACTTTTCGTACCATAACCTATTAGTGGACTATTTGGTGTTCCATTGGCTGAATATCAAGAATATATCAAGAATACTGAAAAAAGAGGATTAACGCATGGAGATGGAAGTGCAGAGCGAGGTACAAGCAAAGGGAAGCATGATACAATTTCAAAATTGCGTACACACCATCATCACATAGTCACTATGCTACACGATCACCTTTTACATCTATAGAGCGGTGAAAATTCCTTCATCTAGGGCATCTCTGACCGCTACTTTGAGAGGCGTAACTAACTCTCTTAGCCTCTATTACGAAGCAGAAAAAGATTGTTAGACCTGTAAAAGCTAGAGCCACCTGCCTTTATCATTAGATTCGACTAAATTGCCGTTAGTGACAAAGGTGTAGAGGCAGATATTTCAGCAGAATAACTAAATGAGAAGAAGTAAGAAGTAGAGCTGTATTGGATTTTACTTGGTCTATGATAATTATGATATCAATATTTTCACTTATATTGCATCTCTTATACATGACAAAGTGACTCGTTACGACTGTTACTAGGCAGAGACATCGCTCATCACGTTTTATTCTGTCCAAGAATGCCATGGCAATGAAGACAGCAGACCCGTGGTATTCAGCTAAAGGTTGCGGCGACACAAAGGGTATCAAACCTCAGCGACGACAAGCACTGTGATTTATCATGCAACTACACCTTCAATTACTACGATTAACTATCTTTCCTTTTATATTTTACCTCGCATATGACAGAGCAGCAGCTTATTTCTTGTGCCACTTGCCGCAGGCGTAAGTGTAGAGTTGTGTAGTCAGAAGATTTATGGCCATTATCTCTGCTACCTATCATCTTCATGTATCTGTGGTCTATGGCAATCGCCTTTTCTTGTTGAAGTGGTGTAATCTCATCGTCGTTACAGTGGCTTGTTATATTGACTTAGCTGAAGCTATTGCTTCGATGATCTTCCATAGTTAGGCTACGACATATATCGTACTGCAACCGACAGTAACACCGAGGTACGTCCAAGCAATAGCCTTGCAACCCCGATTTCATACAATGTAGTTTCGTAACGCCTGTCCTTGTCGAAAACAATCCATCAGATCGCAAGGATTATGAATTTATCTATACTTAGTGACCATTGTAGTCCGGATCGGTCTATTTCGGTACCATTGAGTATGGCCAAAATTACCCTTTGCTTCTATCGCGCCGCAATTCATGCTGGAAAGCTACAGGGAACTATCACATAAAAAATTACTACCCTTCCTCATCTCGTTAATCTAACGTGACATCTGCGATCCAAGATCAACGAAACCCCCTGGACAAGAAACCAAACATGAATTTGACATTTCCAGTCATCTTCTCCTCTCTTTTCCTCAGTACCTCTGCCATCTGCTGTCTATTTAACCCCCAACCTTCTGGTTGCCCGTTCACGTGTAAGAAGGTTAAGACTAATTGCAAATGTGTAAGTACTTGAAAATCCCTACGTTCTAAACGATGACATTAACTAACAAAATAATAGTGCTATGGTCCCGAACTAAGCACATCTAGAAATCAATGCAAGAATGACTACCGTGATTGGTGTCTTAGCTATGAAGATCCACCAGGAGTAACGGGAGCATGTCACGTGAATTCAACTAATGGTCGTGAAGATGGCGTTTGGGTGTGCGTATATTAATGGCTCACTTGATCACACGACGAAAGGGAATCGCTTTGTAGTGGCGAGGACCCGGAAAAAGAGACTGAGAGAATACGCTAATTTCACATCCTCCGCTGTAGTTCTTCGAGCTGCGTCCTCGCCAACTGTTCTGCCCATACGGTGAGCTTTCGTTGTACTGTCAGATCCGTGACAACACATCCTGAAACCACATCTACCACTGCTCACTATGTAACGGGCTGAATGCCCTTTGTAAGACTTCTCTAACAGGATCTCGGTGCGGATTCTGCTCATCTGGACCCCACCCAGCCGCTGACTGCCGAGCTGAGCAACGCTTAATTCAACGGGAGAGCTTACTTACGACGGAACGGAACATGCAAGGGGGACCTGTCGAAGTAACAAATCCTAGGTTTTTCAGTTTTCTATACTACTAAACGCTACTACCCACCATAGCACCATTCCACAGCTATTCTAAAGCTCTCATGCTCAGGTGTTTTTCATAAATCTTTGCGGTTTTCTGCTGAAGGGCAATATGCTATCAGAGGTATTCTTTTAGATGCTCTAAAACTGGTTCATGTGCATTCATCAGGGATCTAAGCAATATAAGCAAAGAATAAGCTTTATAGCAAAAGAGACAATGGGAAAAGTCTGTCTGTATTTGGGAGTAAAACAGTATTAGATTTGTACTAGGACTATATTCTGAGCTGGCTACAAAACTCACCTCTCTATCGAATAGAGATATACAATACACCCGGTACTGCCCTTGAAATAGTTTCTTGAGCGTAGCCCCTCTACATCCTACGCCTATTTAGAGTTCAGTTATCACAGAGTAAGCACTCAGTACCGCTGGCAGTCTTCTTGAAAGGTTATCAGCGATGAAGTTGGGTATGCATATACCCCCATTCCCAAAACTAGACAAACATCACATGCTTCCCGCTCCATCTGTCTCCTCCTCCGCTTTTTTCGTCCTCTTCATTCTCTCTTCCGCTGCCCGTGCTAGTATTTCTCTCCTGCTCATTCCCTCTCCACTCGTATTGCTGACCGCTGTCTCCCTGTCCCCAGCCGTGTTGCTAACCACCGTCTCCCCACCCAAAGTAAACTCCCCGCCGGTCCAGCCTCCATGGTCATGTACTTCTTCTTCGCCAGTAGGCTCGTAAAACTCTTCGTTGCCCACGCTTCTGCCCCCGCTCTTCCAGTCGTCGCGAGCTACCTCGCGCTCAATCTGCTTGCATAGATTCCAAAAATTGCGATCATGGGGTCCCCAGACGTTGTGTGCGAGCTCGTGGCATAGTGTGTTGCGGATCGTCTTGTAATCGCGATAGCCGTCGTATGCGTCGGTCCTCAGTCGCAACTCAATGACTTCTCCTCTGTTTCGGTTCAATCCGAGCGTGCGCGACTCTTGTGTTGTGTGCATGGCAGGGTCCATCTCGGTGAGCAGCGGGACGCTGAATTTGTGTGTACGCATGGCGGCTTTGATGCCTACATCATCGCGTAACCGCTCGAGGAAGCGCAAGGAGCGTTCGGGATTGGGGAGGTAAGGTAGTGGGCGCAGTGTGTGAAAGGTATACTGCGCCTCCTCTTGTATCTTCTTGTAGTCTCGATTTCGCGCTGGTGTGGCGGCTTTTATAGGACCTGGTCGCCGGGGCGCCGACGCGGCGGATATGGTACTGTTGAGAGATGACACCTCTTCCTTTGTGCTTCCCATCAGTGTTATCTTTTTAGATGTGAGCTCCGTGAGCGGTAGCGCAGCATCTTTAAAGGGTGGTTTCTGCAGTCCGATCTTACCGCCGATAAGGAACTTTTGATTCGACGGCGGTATTGAGAGTTCTGCCGCAACACGTTCTGAAAGTTCGGAAATGGTGGCATCTTTAGCAAAGGGGAATGCGATAGCTTTTCCATGGTGTGTGAGGGTGATTTGGATGTCGTCGCCAGAAGTTGGCGGTGCTGGGGAATTGTCCGTTTCTGCCATGATTAAGAGATGGTTAATACGTTCGCGCTGGCAAGCAAGGATGCGGTTTATATGGCTAATACTATTAGCTAGATATCGTAAGTGGCAAGGTTAGTGGTGATCAAGATGTTTGGTTTGGTAGCATGTGGTTTGGCTATGGTAAGCCATGCGCTGCTTCGGTGACGTTCTCGAAGGCTTCCACGACGTGATGCACTGCCATCGGCAATTTGTCATCACTAAACTCCGACTCGGTCCGTTTTACCACCTCTGTTATCAACATTCAATATTAAGCCCGCCGAACGGATACGCATATCCTTTCAGTAGTAACCGGAGGGTGCAAAGCTCAGCTCTAGTTACTTTGGACTTAGTACTGTCTTTCGCTTTCTTATTCCTAAACCCAACTTTCTATTCTACATTTGTTGTCGATAATTGTAGAAACTCAAGAATTGGAGTTTCGAACCTATTGAGTGTCCATATGTTCATCTTGTTTAGATGCTCTATCAATTTTCTGATGGGTTGAAGTAGTATTACATAAGTAAACTCAGCTAAAAACGTGTGGAAATATCAAAGAAAGTGCATTTTTCCAACTAATGTCCGTCCCTGCGGGTCGAACATCCCCCCACAACGAACCACGAATGTTGTTCAACCATATTATACCCACCTTGCACAATCGTATAGGGTCAAGTTGATAAGGTTATATTCTTTACCTTTATCTCTACCTAGTGCAAGCTCTATATAGTAAAATTACAGCGTTGTAGCTTATGTTCTTAAGCATCTTGTCTTTGGCATAGAAGGTGCAATGTCAAAACACCCCTGCTCTCTCTTAAGTAACACTATCGCTTAATCCTTCGGAGCCGTTATATAATACTTAAATAGGGGTATAATACAATCCCGCTCTTAGAAACGTATGCAGCCCTAATCTAAGTGCTCTCCGAGTTGCTCCGGTGCGACATGCCACTTCATCAGACTGAGCGAAAAAGACTTAGCGTGCTGACACAGCCAGTATTAAAAGCTTAGCAGTCTGCAATATACACCTACGCTATACCAAAACAGCTTAAGCTATAGCGCAAAGCTCCAGAGGCTTCGTCTAACCACTATTTACGTGCATGGTCACCTGCTGCCTGTCCTTAGAAATTGGCTAGAGATAGACACCACGGCATTAGTATTATATACATGCTAGTTGATGTAAGGATAGATCTACCTTAATATAGGTATCCAAAATATATAAGTACTGCAAATATGCTTCTATTATTCGTGATTCCTCATTTATTGTAAGGGGCTGCGCTCTGGGGAGCAATCGCAAGGTATACAAGAGGTTGTATTTGATAAGGAGCTATCTACTCTGCTTACGTAGTGTTTATTTACTTGTCGGAGAAGGTTATGCCGGAGTATCTGAGCGCGCTGTCTAAGCGCTGCTCGGTCTGAACGTAGTTTAGATGGTGCGCGCGCAGCTCAAACCGAGATTCCATCGAGGAGCTATCCAAAAGGGCGTTCAGCCCGTTACATCTATTTCACCTCACAAAACCATATCCTCCCTGATCCTACTCCCATGCCTACTAGAGCCCCACTAACGGCTGACCTTGATGGTCGATACTCAGACGGTACCCATAGTACATTGCTTCCGGCGCGCATAATCCAAACCATATCTAGACTTAAACTGACATTTTGGTACTGTGGTTTTGATGCTGCCATGTCTGTGCTGGTAGAAACCTGGAAAGGAGGGATAGCGATGATTCCAATGTTTGTGTGAAGGGAAGTGCTAGTACAGTCGAAAGATAAGCCGTGAAGAACCGTGCTAACATTAAGAGTGTGTATACACGTCCCGCTGCTCGCGTCCCAGATCTTGACAGTCCTGTCCTCTGACGCTGACGCTAGCCGAGTCGAGTCGTGCGAGAAGGCCACCGAGTTAACATAGCTACTATGGCCCTCGAGTGTGTGCACACACGTCCCGCTACTTACGTCCCAGATCTTAACAGTGCTGTCCTCTAACGCTGACGCTAGCTGAGTCGAGTCGTGCGAGAAGGCTACTAAGCTAACAGAACTACTATGGCCCTCGAGTGTGTGCACACACGTCCCGCTGCTCGCGTCCCAGATCTTGACAGTCCTATCCCAAGATGCTGACGCTAGCCGAGTCGAGTCGTGCGAGAAGGCCACCGACCTAACATAGCTGTTATGGCCCTCGAGCGTCTGCAGACACGCACTCCAGCCGTTGTTTATAGGTGGCTTGATCGTTACTCCTCTTGGCTCTTCGTGCTGGAACAGCCTTCTTACTATGCTATTAGCTGGACTGAATAGCAGAGCAGATGCGTATGCCTGTAAAGGATAGTTCTCGATCGCCTCCTTATGATACATAATAAACCGTCGTGCGTCGCACACGATCTTGTTTAATACGTCCGCGTCTCTAAGTTCCTAGCTACGTTAGTAACTACACTGTGAAGGCCGTGTGTAGATGTAGTTGTATTAGCCGTACCTGGACTAGATCCCATAGCCTTGTCATCGAAACTACTCCTTTGGCCATGCTTCTGCATAAGCTAAGCGCTTCTAGCCAGTAGAGGTATCTCTGCCTAAGAAATATGTCTATAGCCCTAGTAGTTTCTTAATTAATAGCACTAGGTTTTGAGTCGCAGAAGTGGTCGATCCAGTACACACATGGGTAGCGCGACACAGCAAGAGGATCAGGGAAAGGTGGCAGGACATCTCCTATAGCATATTCAGGAGCTTGAAGGCTGTATATATCTCTGCGCAGTGTCTTGTGCAGGACAGCAAGTGACTTCGCAAAGATGTCTTAATGCACACATTCTATCCTGTCTAGAAAGACCTCGTTCGATACTTTCGTGACAAGGAAGTCCTTAGCTAACTAATGCACAAAGTACACTGTATCGTCTCGCAGCGTAAGGAACGATCCGCAGAGACCGATGATCTCCCGCACAGACTCTAGGTCATGAACAAGGTCTGCAAGTTGCTTGGTCAGTATAACTAGCTCACTGACTGTGACAGGTTGATACAGGACAGCAGTCACTGCCAGCACCCGCAAACACATATCAGCGCTATCAGACTCGCTTATCTGCTGCAGCATCCGCTTGTACAGAGAGTCGAGTCCAGGCGGGAACTGGGCTAGCTTCTTGAGCACGTTCCACTTTGGCGTCCCTTTGAGATCTTAGCACACCAACGCAACCCAGAGGAAGGTGTCGTTCGCATTTGAGGTTAAGTGCTGGAGCACCGTATCTTGCACCTCTGGCGTGTAGCGTTTCTCTTGGGCTAAGTGACACACCTTCTGCTGGATAAAAACCTTAACCGCTGCTGCGACTGACTCAGCATTAAGCTCAAGGCTCAGCGGCGTTTTGTGATCTGCACGCTCTAGCTCTTCCTCAATGGCTGGCCAGTTGCGACTAGACACGATCCACTTGACGCGAGAGGACATAGATGACTGCTTCGCGATGAAGGTAAGCAACTTTGCTAAGTCCATCATACATTCATCGAGCGCGTCAACAATTAGGTACATCGCACTTAGGCTTGCATCTCGCAATACATCAGCGAAGATCTCTGTTAGGGCGACCCAGGTATTTGCGTCCTCGAACAAACTTCCGCCTGCGCGATCGTACTTCTTGCGAATATGAACTGCAAGTGATGGCTGCTGGTCCACGAGCATATACAATAAGCCCCGCAGCACGGCTAAGGCACTGTTAATGCGCGAGTCGGTCGCCTGGCAGAAAAAATATAAAAAAAGGGTAGGTTTCGGCGTTAAGTTTTGCAGTTCATCGATAATGCCGCATAGTAGCATCGTCTTGCCTTTGCCAGGATCACCTTTCACCCACAGTAGTCGGCTCTCCGGGTCTTTCCGCCACTGCCGGAAGGTGTTATTGTCAAGAACCCAACAGTAAGCGCCCGCAAGCAGCCCGCCTTTACTCTCCTCGATCCGCTTCTTGTCATCGCGCGGGTTACTAGGACACAAGTCTTGGATACAATTGTTCTGCTTGTCAACCTCGTCTAGAACCCGCTTCATTACTTCAGCTAGATTCTCGCTATCGATTGGGGACAAGCTAACGCCGAGAATACCCGTTAGGGAATATGCACGGTCTGCTGGAATCGTTGTAGTGCGATGTTCAATCCAGGTAACGCGTTCATAAACGCTAAAGTAAGACAACGGTTCGCCCTGTAGCGCTAGACTAGGGATACCCGTAACTTCACGCACTTCTTTTACCAGCGACAACTTATCACCAAGCTTGGTCCCTTCTCGAGAAAAGAACTCTACTGTAGACGGTGCAAGAAGCTCCTGCAGTGTCCATCCACGGGTAAACCATCTGCTAGTTTTGAGCGCAAGCTCAGCCTTCTGCTCACTTCGTACAGGATCGCTACCGACCGAAGTGCATGGAACGTCGCGCGAATAGAAGTAGCGTTGTATTGTGCTGCTATACCATCTCGACATAGTATAGAGAACAGAGAGCATCCAGAACCACAAAAGCCATCGTGAATCGTGGTGGCTTGACGTCACTGGTAGAGGTTGGTCAGAGACATCTGATAGATACACATAACACCGAGCTGCATCGCAGTACCAGCGAAACATCGATCGGATAGAGAAGGCAAGTTCAGCCTTGTTGGCCTTGTCGATGCAGCACGTGTCGATCCAGAAGTACTGGAGGCTGTCGCGCCGTGCCTGTTCTCCGCAGAAGAGGATCTTCTCATAGCCCGGCTTTGTCCTCCCGCCGCCTATCTGGAGGTCTGCAAAGGTCACCTCGTCGCCGTCTGCGCCCCAGGTGTGTGAGAGTATCGCGTAAGGGGGTATGTCGCCATCGTCGAAGCTGTGGATGCTAAGCTCTCCGCTTTCGCTGTACTGTAAGAGCCGCATAGATTCATATGGATGTACAGTAGGTATATGCGATGAGAACGTGACTCGAAAGGTTGAATTTGGTAGCCTAGTCGCACGGGCGCTTGTTGCTTGTTAGCTGCTTTCCTGCTAGATACCGATGGATGGTCAGCATACAGAGAGAATGACGAGCAGGTGCACCAGCTCAGGTACCAGCAGGATCCTGTGATGCGTCAAGATGTCGCGAGCTGAGGCTGCCGGCTCTCGCTGTATTCTTGACTTGGTGGTGAAGCCTGTGTGAAGCCCCAAACGGGGTATGTAAAGCGTGCCATTCATGCGCCGTGCACTGCTCGCAAGGCTGAACCGCGTCTGCATAGAAAGCTGTGGACATGAGGCCCCTTGGCGCTGTTAGCAGGGGTCTAAGCACTGACGCGCTCAAAGCTTGCCCGTTTTGATACAGGACAAATGAGAGCAGTCACGCAGATACAACACTTATGAATAACATCTAGGTTTAAATTTAACTCAAAATACCCTTTCTATCCAGCCTGCACAACGCCGCGAAACCCCATCATACAGAGCCAGAGAAAGTGGTTTAGTACATCCTGGCTACAGGTGCTCTCCATGCAGATACCGGCGCATGCGTTAGCTCAGGCGCATTGATCCGCTGCGCTACTGTAGGCTTTGGCGACGGCAGGACCGTCGATTCTTCTAGCGCGTCGCTCTTGCGCTTACGCCCGCGCTTCGGCTTGCCTACTAAAGCGTGCTCCTTCGCAGCACGCTTTGCTCTAGCCTCTTTGAGGTCTTGGAAACTCATCACCTTAGCCTTGCCTAGAACTACCGACTTTGTTGACCGGCGGGTTTTGGCTTCTTGATTGATCTGAAGGAGGAAGTGATTATGATCTTTAAGGAGGGCCTGCTCAGCGAAGGATACCTTAGCGGCGCTTGCCAGTTTCTGTATGCGTCTCTGTAGACGGTCTTTGTTCATCTTTTTAAGCACGTGTGTGTCCTTTGTAATTAGATCATGCAGCGACGTAAGCGCTTCTGTCGTCACTGGTGTTACTGGCGTGGTAGGCGTACGGGGCACATTGTCCAACACATCAGCACTCGCAGTCTCGGTTCCTGGATTTGATATGTTGCTTACTTCCGCTGGAGGTTTAGGGATATCTCTAAGCACTCGTTCCGGTTTGAAAGGGAACAGGCCAGTTGCAGACCACCCAGCTCTAATGTTCCTTTTAGTTAGTGCGCGATCTCTTGCAGGGCTATAGAGATAAGTGAAATGCTCTTTGCCAATAATATCTACGCCTCCTTGGTTGAGTCGCTCAACTTGTTCACGATACGCGCTCTTCAAGGGTGCAAAAGGACCAACATCGCATGGCTGTAGCTTGTGAGAGGTGTGAGAAGGCAGATGATATAAGATAATGTTGTTAGTAAAGCAGAACTTTAGGATTTCGAGCGTTTCGTGCGTCCTAAAGCCATCACAGATTAGCACGCGCGGCTTTCCACCTGCTCCTTCACGTGTCTGGGGGTCAAACACGCGCTTAAGCCACTCTAAGCTAATTTTAGAGTCGTTGTACCCATTCTCTGAGTGTGCGTAGTGCCATCTAGGGGTTTCGTGCGTGGTCCATTTGCTGTGATGGGTCGATGCTGGCCATATAATGAGTGGCAGGAGGGCCCTTCCGTCAGCACTGATGCACTCAATAGCAGTTACCATAGTACGCTTAACACCTGCACCCCTACTAACTTGCCCATCGTTTTTGCCGACTAAGACTTTTGCCGAGCCGAGCATGCTTAGCATAACTCCAATTTCGTCCATATTATACACGTTTTCTGGCAGTACGCATGGATCCTGTAGTACCTGACTAATCACATTGAACCACTCTACTATCTTCTCATATATATTGTTTCCGTGACGCTTCCAGTCTATTGATCTGACCCTTCTCGTCTGGAGTTCGGGGTGACGCTTCTCGAACGCTCGTGGCCAGTTCTTCCCTGGACGCTTGATCGACTCGCTCTTCGTAAACCGCTGGCGGGCTATGCTGAAAGCTAGCGAGCGAAGGTACTTAACGCGCACAGGCTGTCCGAGACTAGACATCAGTAGCAGGAACTTTACAAGGGCCTTCTCCTCCTCTTGAGTCAAGTACTGCTGACTCTGAGCCTGCTCTGCTCTCGAGCGTCGTCCAAGCCTACGGTGGATCAGAGTTGAGACAGGGACATCGCCGTGCTCTGATCGAGCAGCACATGTATCACGCACACCCTCAGGCAGACGTTGCGCAAGCGCCTGGCTGGCTGGGTCCATGTTCGTGGTTGTGGTGACTGAGGGATACCTCGAGCGCGAAGCCAACCGAATTTAACACCAGTCTGCTTCTAAGAATAGCTGGCAACACGCAGCACCTGATGGAAGCTTCTAGAACTCTGCGCCACAGCTTCAGCTCTTTTAGTATAGCGCAGGTGTACATCGTAGGCCGCTAAGCGTTCGTAATCTAGCTGTGCCAGCGTTTTAAATTCTTTCGCTAATGCGAAGGACCGGCACACTGAGCCGGAAAAACTCGGAGCGCATCTGAACAGAGGCTGCATATCTTTATAGTATTGCTAAAGATCCTTTAGCTTACTCCAAGTTATATATAATCTCCGAATAGGCAAGTAGAGCTTCTATAAGAGGTAGGACAGGGGTGTTTTAGCAGTGCACCTTCCCACGCTTAACACAAAAGACTCACGTATGCCCCTTAGATCGCTGTAATTTTACCATTTAAGGCTTGCAATAGATAGAGGTAGATCTAGTAAGCATACAAATGTGTATTTATGTCTAAGAGCCTCTGCGGCTTGGGCGTAAGGTGCTTGGGCAGTGTTGGTGGTTCGTTGCGGAGGGATGTTCGACCCATAGGGATGGACGTTAGACGTCAACCCATCTACCAACCCATCATAACATATATACGTACCTAAAAGACAACAATCTAGCTGAGATCCTTACATAACATTACACAACACAACAGCGGTCTCGGCAGCGACAGTCTCCATAATAGCACCAGTCTTCCTCCAGTTAACTACCCTCTTAGCCTGATAAAGCTGATCCTTTGCAACCTCCGTCGACATCAAATGAAAGTAAACCTGTCTCTGCGCGTCCAGACTACGTTTTGAAGACGCACATTTTCTTGCTCGACTGCAACTAGGGATTCTACAGGAAGCCGCTAAAGGCAATCTGATCTCTCTTTCAGACTGTTCATCTCCGCAGATTTTGCCCGTATGGCCGCATCATGCTTTTCTTTTAACTCGAGTATCTCTCTTGCTGTTATATTGTCGTGGTCTCTTCATGCATCTTAAAGCTTGCCCCTGGCTCGTTCTTGCTCCTTAATTACCTTGCTTTTTAGTTGCTGACCCGCGATAGTTTCCTCCAGCATCACTCCTCCTTCATAGACCTGCTTCTGGAGGACCATGTTCACTCCCGACCGGCGGTTTATGATGTACTCGATGATGCGCAACGCAGAAGCTGAAGTTTCATCGCGTCTGATGACTTTGGAACCCGCGTCTATCAACGAGTCCCAGTACCATTGAGAAAACTGTCTTTGTACATGTCGCTTGGGGTGTTGAAGGGGGTGTCTGAGGTATAATGTTAATTCTGTGCGGTTTTTGTATTGTGATCATTGCAAGAAGGACATGAGGGACGAGAGTCTTTACTTGCGTAAGTTTGCATCTTTTATGAATGTGGGGAGCTGGAGAGATTGGTGTTGGGTGATGAAGGCTAATGAGAGACATATTGAGGTACTTGCAATGAGAATTACGATCTTTGTAGTGAGTATTGGGGGAAGCAGAGGGCTAGTCGCAGGGGTCACTGGCATGTGCTGTATGTTATTTCGCAGTGTCCGAAGAGTATTGCGGTGGCAACTTAGTGGGGTTTAGACAGTGCATTAGAAGGGTGTGTAAAGGTCATGTTAGAGATAGATGCATACGTCAGTGTCAGTTGAGAGACGCTGAGTGAAAAAAGGGGTTACAGTGACAGATTAGGATAGCGGATAGACTAGAGTAAGTGTCTTGGTGACAATTACTTAGGTATTCGGTTGATCTGGCTTGCACAAGCGATTTCTTAGTCGGGGAGGTGAATACCACCAAATCTGTACCATGATATCCGTTTACGTTTGTAACCACACGAAGTCGATATCACGTGCTTGATGGTTAACACCTTGTCTTACTGAACACGACTTTCAAACAGGGTTTCATTCAGATAATTGAAGCGAATTCATGCGATCATATTCATATACATGCTCCCTCATTCTTCTAACGGGATATAAAACTACACTCTAGCAAACACCTACATATGCAGAACCCATTATTAATATGCATGCCATCTAGTTTCCCAAAAATGTGTTGTGCGCCCCTTATTAGCCCTTATTAAATTAACCTGACTTTGCCTCCTTATTCGCCTTCTTCGCCGCCTCTTCTGCCTGCTTCTTGCGCTCCGCTTCTTCCTTATCCGCCACCTCTTGCGACCTGACCCATTCTCTTATCGCCGGATCCCATCGGTGCCTGCATTCCTATTAGCAATACTCTTCTCACCCGAGACTAGGCCAACGTACCCATTGAACTCGGTCACTACCAAAGCTTTTTCTTGATACTCGTCTACGAGTATCTTGTCGTAATTGTATGGCACCTTGGCCACGACACCTTCGAACATGGTTTCACGCATGGGATACAGATCTGAAGTTTGGTATCGGTGGTAGTTCTTGCAGACCCATTCGCCAGGACGCTCTTTCGGATGTGTTTCGCTGAGCCCCGTAATATCAATGAATAGGCCGTTGCGGGTATCGATCCATCGTGCATCGATGATGTTTGCGCCGTCGCCGCGTTCGCGCTCCCATATCCATGGGTTGACGTCTAAAAGGTATTCTCGTTGCACTATGCCGTCGTAGGATACGTATGGGTACTTTGTTTGGTTGTGGACCCTGCCGATATGCTGTAGTGTGCCGTCGGCGACTTGGGTGTCAAGATCAAAGTCCCAGGGGAGACGCTTTGTTAAATGTAAGCTGACATGTCATGTTCCAATAAGACCAGACGCACCTTTCCATTCCACCACCATCCTAACAATGTTCCATGCGCGATCCAAGTATCCAGGTCGTTTTCGCGGAAAAAGTTCAAGTAGGCACGGATCATGTGTTTCTGAGTATCAGTCCGCTCGTCGTCGGATACAATGCCTTTGAAGTAGCGCTTGTCATAGTGGCCGAGTGTTAGGCTGCCTCTAGAGGGCTGTCAGATGTGTGCCCAGGACGGTAAAGTTTCTTGTACAAAGCAACGACACAGTGAGAGTGGTTACTTACCCAGGCTCATAAAAGTACTTTGTGCTGGGCTTCTTGTCCCCGCGCGATTCAATTCGACCGACTGGTGAGTTTCGAACCAAAGAGGTGTTCTCTGGGGTCGGTACAGCGAGAGAAGATAGGAAGAGGGATGCGGTAGCAACAGTGGCTGCACATGTGCATAAGCGCATTGCGGCGTATCAGATGTCTGCTAATTGGGTACGTGATTGCGACAATCGTGGACCATCAAAGTCTCTCACGAAAAGTCCTTGTATCTCGCTGGATTATATCGGCGACCAGGCCAGGGAGTCAGTCTGGAGTATGTGGGTATGTCAGGTATGAAGACTGAGATGCAATTCAGGAAGGAGGTCGCGTGCTTCGGGTGGTAGCGATCGACACAGCGTAGACGGCAATCACAAACAGCATCAAGGGGAGAGGGAGCAGAAGAAACGGAGAAGAGAGACGGAGATGCACATGGAGCCGGGGCGCCGCAATGGATTCGTAAGGCAACATGACGCACTGAACGCGACACTGAGGCCACCAGCCCTGTCGAGTTGTGCCCCCGACATGCCTTGCTTGCAGACATTGCTGCCATACTACCCCGGAAATTCGGCACCGTTGGAAGCGAACAAGATGTTGATTCAGAACAGTGGAGCCCTGGCAGGGAGAAGAGTATCCACTCAGATGTAGCAAATGCATGGCTAAGCTTTAGGCAAGCGAGTGATTGCCAATCATGTACCCCCATAACGGGCGGCTCGCGGCTGTGGTGGCTTGTGTCTTGCAAATGTGCAATGGCTTGGAAGCATTTTCTGCCATTGTCCTAGATATCGTGCTGATATGTTGACGTATCTCTGCGGGGCTGCTGTCAAAAGTGGTCGAAGGTGCGGCGCAGGATTGTCCGGCATGTCAATCGTGATATCGCGTGCGTCCTTACCCAAACCGGAAAGGCCTCGTCATCGTCCATTTGGCAGCAATGGGAGCCACTTTTTCCTCTACGCCAATGCTCTTGGCGGCACAAATGTTGGTTACATGCATGGAGTTGGCCAGGTCATTCTTCAAACACATACAGCAACGATTCCTTTTTTCCAAGCACCAAGATACCCTATCACACATTTCAGCAACTGTTGCCACGGCAACTGCATATCAGACCTACTTGACAACGGTAACTGTTCTGTCGCCACAGATAGGACAGCCTCTATTACTACGTGCATGCCATGCTTTTTTGCTCTACCAAGTACATGGGCTTTCTCAGCCTCACGCCCAAACGCTGGATTCGTCCAAGACCATAGTACGCCACAAATCAAAGAGGAAACAAAAAGGGTCGTCATCTATGAAACATCCATGGCCTCCGTGCCGTTGGCCACGGCAAAAGATACATCGCCCGCATCGCCAATCAGACGCTTCTCCGACTCGGAAACAAACTGTCATTGCGTTAGCTTCGGCCTGTACAACTGCGACTTGTGTAAACCTACCTTGACGCTTCGGTTGGGGTCGTAGAAAAGCGCAAAGCTCCGCTGAACATCCTCAATTGTAACCTCGGAACCGTTCCTCTTGCCGCGTATCAGGTCAGAAGTGGTGATCAGGTTGCTGGCGTACCGTAACCCAGCCTCCTGGCCGATCTTGGTAAGCAATGTTAGCGCATCCGGAGACACATCAACCTCCTCTTCCTGTGCTCTTATCGAGATGATTTGCTGCATCTCTTCCGACGAATATGGGTGCGTATTGACAATGACGACGCGATCTAAAAAGTCCAGCGGCAGTCCGTGCGGCGACCGGTAGTCTGTTCCGCGTATCTGTGTGTTTCCTCTGTTGCTAGCCATGATGACAATGGGTGCTAGCTCGTCCTCAAGTGCACGGTTGACAAACGAGAAACACTCAATGTCGAGCATGTGGACTTCGTCGATGAATAACACACCTGGCACAATGATTGCCTTGCCCTCCTCTTTCCACTCAGCCACCTTTGTGTTGATTTGGTCGCGCACCTCGCTGCGGATCTCGCCCGTGTCGCCTGAGAAGAGAGCCAGGAAGCCCTGGGTCCTCGAGTTGATGACATCGATCTCGTGCAGGCTGACTGTGTGCACCACCTCGCGCCGCTGCTGCAGCTCACCTTCGGGGCACTGGACAAACTTTGTGTCAACTCCCATTGCATCGTAGTCTCGCGAGCGTGTGTAGGAGCGGCCGAGCTTGGTGATCTTGCCCGAGGCCTTGTCGATGGAGATGATGTCGCCGGCCATAACCTTTTCCTTGGTCATGCCGTCGATCATCTTGGTGCCCATGTCGTAGACAGTCTCCATGTCGGTCGTCTTGATGGTCAGTTTGCCCTGCTTGTTGCTCCCCGTGACGCTGCGGTCAATCTGTATCTCGACAACCTCGCCCTCGATGACCTCGCTCTCCTCAGTTATTCGGACGCCAATCGACTTGCGGAAGGCTTGTGTGAGAGCCTCCGTCTTTGACATTTCGAGCGAAAAGATCTCAGACGAGGCCAGCATCGTAAAGGGCACGTCGGGGCCGAGGGATTGCGCCATACCCATGGCAATGGCCGTCTTGCCTGTGCTTGGAGGACCGGCAATCAGGACTGCGCGACCTGCAATCTTGCCGTCTCGCGCCATCTTGAGAATGACAGCCGCCGCCTTGCGAGCTTTTGCCTGCCCGACTAGGCCCTGCGACGAGACCTTTGGCTCGAGCGTGTCATCGTCGACGCCGAGCCCGCGAATGTGCGAATGCGCAGCGATGAGGTTGAGCCCACGGAGCTCCTTGGTCTCGGCGATAGTGGTGATGGGCTGGGAAGGGTTAGTGGTGGTGATACATGTCGCCGAGGGAGATATAGCCGACACGTACCATAGCCATAGCGAAGTGTATTAGGAGTAGTGCTTTGAAGCTCTGATATGCAATGGCAGCAGCAGCAGCAACAATTCGCGGTCGGCGCGCAGAGTGAAGCTCGGCGGGCGCTAGTAGCAGACGCACGAGCCAGTCGGGCGCGCTTCTCACGCCCCCACATTTCTTCTGGTTTAGTCAATCACCTGCAGCGCGTGTTCCCTACCGTTGCCCCGACACATCATCTCGGCCAATCCCCACAACCAAACCAGTGAGAGCGTGCATAAACTAGTGTAAACATGCTCAGCTCGCACTCGTTGACCAGATGTTTGCTTTTCTCACCATCCTCGCCACATCGCTGCCTATACCTTCTTCCATCTTGCTTGGCGTTGCAGCAGGGTGGGGCAAACATGCCTGATTGTTTATCACCCTCGCTTTCCTTCATTTCCATCTTCCTCCGTTCCCTGCGCTCCTTTACCTGCACTCCACTCCCCCATGAGCTCACGTACGGGCAAGCGGCCACTCGAGCCCCGGTCCCGCGGGGATAGCCCTCCCAGTAAACGGAACCGCGCACATGAACCACAGTCAGCGCTGCCAGACAAAGCCCGTTCACTCACCACTACGTCGTTGTCGTCGTCGTCGTCGTCGTCGCCGCGAGTGGCAAAACCCGTCATAAAGATTCCCAGTCCCCCACCATCTAGGAAGACCTCCTGTACTTCGCTACCAACTAACACACCAGTGGGTCCCAAAGGAGCATTTGATCGTAACCCAGTCGATTCTGTTCATGCGAGACATCCTCAAGAGAAGCCTGGCCGAGCCGACCAAGCATCTAGACATGATGCACCCACCAGGTCTCCTACTTACCTGAGCAGCGGACCATCTACCCCTACTCACCGCAATGCACCTCCCGCCCCTTCCATGTTACCGGTCGAGTCAAGCCCACACGCAAATCCCACGCCACGTCCAGACAATCCTACCAACGACCACACACTCACTACTATGCAATCACTTCGCAAACTCCGGGACAGGCGACTAGCTATAGCGGCACAGGTCAGCCCAAGTGAACTGTCCGCCTCATCAGCCACTCAAGTAGAGGTCAAACTCGAAGCTCAGCAACTGGAAATTAATCAACTGAGAAAAGGCCGAGATGAACTCAACAGCAGATTAAAGAGTGTCGAGGCTGTATTCCAAAACTCCAACCGTTCAACAAACTTGTCAGCTCAAGAAGAGTATTCTTTAAAGGCTCTGCAACCCATACTCACCCGCTTAGATGTGCTTGAGAAATCCTTGCTAGTTCCCAATGACAAAACTTCCCAGAAAGAAAAGGATGCACTTGTGACTGTGGAGAATCGACTGGCTGCAGTAGAAGTTACATTATCCGGTCTTCAAGAACGTCTAGAACAGATAAACCCCCCTTGGAACCAAATCAATGCAAGTCTGGCTGAGGCAGCAAATAACGCTGTAACCAAGATATTTGCTTCAGAAAGGGAAATACCCACGTTCATCAACGATAGGATGAAGAAGCTAGTGGCGGATAAAGTTAGCGAGAATGCTGCGGACATCAAGACTTCAATACGTCGAGAAATGACCGAGATGGAAGCACAGCTGAGCAAACGTATCATAGATGAGCACCAATTACTTCAGAATACTTTGGATAGGCTCAAGGATATGAATGATTTGCCAACGACAGTAAGAAGCATTGCTCAGCAACTACTTGGCATCCGCAACACTATCTCTGAGATCCAGTCAATCTCTGACGTGACACGGTACAAAGTCAAAGATATTGAACAAGACATTCAGGTATTCCAGCATCATCCAAGGATCATCGAGGATCTGAAAACAGAGCTGGACAAGTGTGCACGCTTTTGTAAAGAGCTAGCGAGAAGGGATCTGCCACGTCTTGAAGACTCAGAGGAAAACACAAGCCGGCGCCTGAAGAAGCTTGAGGAAACCATACTCGATCATGCTAGACCTGACGACACCGACGGAACAACTTTGTCATGGTCAACGAAGCAGCACACAGCCATCAGACCAGTCGACGTTAGCAACCTTGCTACACGTATAGATGATCTTGAGAGAGCATCACCAGGCATCTCTTCTTCCAGCGTAAACTCTCTTACACAAAACGTAGAGCAGCTCTCTAAAGATTTTCTGAGCTTTCAAATTGCCCAGAAAGAGTCGAGAAGCCTAGAGACAAAACTGGCGGACGTTAATAACCGGCTCGAAAGTGTTGAGCAAGTCTCACAGGGATTCGAGGCTCTCAAAGAGCATATTGTGCTAGACGAATCTTTTAAGGCTAGTCTTGCTGGACTGGACCAACGCGTTTCGGAAAAACTTGGTCTTGTACGGACAGAACTAGATGCTAAGCTTGCCGACATTCAGCTACTTCAGTCTAGCACTTTGTCAGAAACTGTGCCTGCAAAAGCGGAGAATGACTATTTGTCTGTCATGGCCATCACGAGAGCCCTCGAAGATCAGGTCAAAGCCCTACAGACTGAAGTCGACTCACTCTCTGACGATTTCAATGAAACCGGTCAAAAGCTCCACGAGCACTCTACTGCTATTGCTGTTGTGAAGAATCAAGTCCCTGAACTCTTCCGGCAGCAGTTCGACCCGTTCAAGTCTAAGGTTGAAGCGCACCTCGGGACTGTCAATGGCAAATTAGGCGCACATGCCAATGACATTGACAGTTTGAAGAACGTCATGTCTTTACTCCAGACAAAGACATTGTCAAACACCCAAGCGCTGGCAACAAAAGCGGACGCAGATGCCGTGGGAACACGGACGGACAGCATTATGTTTGCATTGAAAGACCTCGAGCACCGATACCAAAACATTAGCACCGACGAAATGTACCAGAAAATGGTACATTGGTTTGTGCAGATGTATCCAGCAAGTGCAACTTTGCTGAGAGACACAGTACAACTTCAACAAGATGCCAACCAGCTCAAAACTTACTGCAACGACATCTCATGGGTTCGGAAACGCTCCGAAGGTTTAGCCGATCTATGCCAGAATGCTGGGCAACTACAGATCCTTGCAAAAAGTGCTCCACAGCTACAGGCCCTCTGTCGACAGCATTCCCCGCAAGTTCAGGACAGAGTCCAGCAAGCTTTAGCTGAAGTTGAACAGCGTCTTAAAATTGACATCAATGAGCTAAAGATGATGAGGAACTCTCTTGAACCTCAGATGTCTCAAATCGCCATGCAGGTTGCTGACATACAAATGTCGGCGTACCAGCACCGGCGTGATTTCGACACGATCAAGGACACCCTGATCGAACCTAATAGAGACTTTTTTGGCCTATTCGGTACAGCTCTTGCTGTCTTGGCCCAAGTCCAACAGGTTGTCGAAAACTTGAATAAAAGCTTACCCGGCTCCCCGCTAACGCTGGACTGGGAATGTTACCTGCCAGCACTTGTTGAACAATCAAAGACAAACACCAACTCTAGTATTGGCGCGGAAAGGGGCAAGAGCAACTAGTAGGCTTTTGAAGACTACAAATGCTTCTTTGCCCATGAGTACAGCTATACACACCCTTATCGGGTCCCATTGTTGGTTTCAAGTTTTTAATTGGAGTTCTGGACGGAGTTTTTTTGGGATTTTCATCCCTTTAGCATATGATACCCCTAGCCGGAAGGCTTTCTGAGATCTATTTTCTGAGACGAATATTATGAACCCACATTTTCCTTGTCATCAGTCGGGAGGGGGGGGGGGTTTATAATGCGAGATTATCATCTCGGTAACACTCTTTCACATTAGGTATATTTCGAGTTATTTGATTTTCGAAAAAGGTTATTCCATTCTCACCGTTTGACGTTGGAAATATAAGTTAGTGGCAGGTGAAGGGCGACAAACGGTGAAGGAAGGTAAGTGAGGACAAGGTCTGGTCTCTCGGAGATAAGCCACAACGCGCTAATTAACCCCGCCCAAAAGGCTTTTGGCGCGTCAACTTCTTGAGCTTCAACCGTACGTACATAGATGGATAATTCCAGACCTTGACACTCCTCAATCCAGCACTCGCACAAAAAACCAAACACTCCAAAACGCCGCAAATGGCACAAGATAACGATGCCCCCAACGCTGCTCCTACCAGTCCAGACAAAGATGTAGACACTTCCATGCCCGACGCCGCAACCCCCCAACCCGCATCCAAACCCGAAAAACCAGCCCACATCCTCCACCAAACAACCTTCCGCAAACAAACCTGGTCCTATCTCCATCTAACCCTCACATCGCCCTCCTTCCCCTCCTCAACCTCATCAACCTCAACCCTACAACCCGACATTTCCCCCCTCCTCATATCCCCGCTCCTCACATCCGCCTTGCGCACATATCTAGGCACAATGGGCGCAGCGATACCTGTTGATATACTCAAGACGGCAGGGAGTGAGGTGTGGATACGGGTGCCGAGGCAGGATGTGCGAGGTGTAAGGGCTGCGTTGGGGAGTTGGGTTGGGAGGGTTGAGGGCGAGGATGTGGGGGTTGAAGAGGGGAAGATTGGGGTTGCGTGGAGGGTGCTGGGTGGTGCTGGAGTGCTTGGGGGGGTGGGAGATGGGAGTGAGGTATTTGGGTGAGGGAGGTGGGGAGGGAGAGGAAAGGAGAGGGCATGGACCGGACTGAGTGTGTGGTGGACATGCGTCCGTACCAGACGCAGGGATTGAATAGTGGGAAACTGTCACGGACTGCTATCTTTGCACTGAGTGTCGTACAGGATACGCCATTGAAGAAAGAAAGAGAACACGTTACTCCAAGACCAGCAGGGACAAAAAAGTAAGGGGCTCCAACAAGAAACAGACCACACCACACACACACACACACGCACATCGGTACCCAAGAAACAGAACAAGAACAACAACGATTCAAGTCTACACAATTTGGAAGAATGGATACGCATGGCTCTGGAAAAAACTACAAGATCTCCCCCCAAACGCACGGATCGAAGAGAATCCACAAGGACAATCCTCCAGCGCTAAATTCACTCCGAACCCCCCTCGCATTTTCCCGTCAAGAATGGAAAATAACTTTTTCAGCAATCTTCTCCATGTCCATCCTGAGATGATCGTCCAAGGTTTACTGCCAGCCGGGCTGGGGTGCGTGGTGACCCTGTGAGCCGCCGTAGCTGCCTCCTTGACCTGGAGGTGGAGGATACTGTTGGCCTCCACCGTACTGGTTCTGGTGTGTCGGGGCACCACCATACTGGTTGTGCTGGTGGTTATCGTAGTTTCCTGGGCCACCGTAGGGGCCAGGAGGAGCGCCGTATGCAGGTCCTCCGTATCCCGCTAGATATTGTTAGCTTTATTGTATTAGTTCAAGGGATAAATTCGTACCTTGCTGGCCGTAGCCGCCGGGACCTGACGATGGTGGACCCTGGCCGTAGCTAGGAGCTGGTCCGCCATAACCAGACTGTCCACCGAAACCGGCCTGTGAGCCATAACCGTGTCCCTGCTGTGGTTGTGGAGTGTGTTGTTGCGAGCCATAGCCACCGTGTCCCTGTCCCTGTCCCTGTCCCTGGTTTCCATGTCCTTGGCCGTACGACTGTCCGGGGGTAGATGAGTGGCCTGGATGACCTTGAGGGCCGCCGCCGTACTGAGAACCGGGGTTGTACGAGGAAGGCGGCGCAGTACCAGTGTACGATCCACCGGATGGGGCGCCAGAGCCGCTATAGCCGTAATCGTTGTTCGGTTTGGCGTGCTGTAGTCTGTCAGCACGTTACCCTTATACCTTAACCAGAGTCACATACAGATCCTCCTCCGCCCAACGCGCCGCTGAGCATACCTCCGAGGCCGCCGGCAAGACCACCACCACTCGAACCATGGCTAGAAGTGTTACCTTGCTGTCCTCCAGAAGAGTTTCCATGCTGCTTGCCACCACCTAGAAGACCACTAGCAAGTTGGCCGACTAGCCCTCCAGCACCACCACCACCACCACCACCGCTGCTGCTGCCGTGGCCGCCGGAAGAGTTTCCAGATTGCTTTCCACCTCCAAGCAACGAGCCAGCGAGTTGACCGACGAGGCCTCCAGCGCCGCCGCCACCACCACCACCACCGTGGCCACCGTTATTTTGCTTGTTGCCTCCCATGAGCGCATTCATGGCGAAGCCCTGTTCCCTTTGTCAGCGAAGCCTCCCAGGTGGCTAGTTGTGTCTCGTACGCCCAGTCCGCCTCCCCTGTCGCCAGTTTGTCCGTCGCCCATGCCTCTTGTTCCGTCGCTTGTACCTGGTCCTAATGTGCCGTCTGGGCTGCTGTATGGGTTCGTGTGTTGTGCAGGAGTGCTGTGGTTCGAACTGCCACCTATAGGCGCTTCGCTAGTGGGTAGCTCCCATTGCGAAACACCAGTGCTGATCTGGACATCTGTTGTTAACGAGTCAGCACGTGCGCCGGCGTTGGCTGCCAAGGAGTCTCAGACACAGTGAACGTACAGTAGTACTTTCGGGATCTGTATGGGTGTGTCAGCGGTGTCGCAGGGGCGTGTCGTGCGAATGCGGGGCAGGCTCAGCGACTCGTGGGAGCACTACAAGGGAAACATACGTATTGTCCCACTGGGCTATCCATCCCGCAGGAAGCTTGGGTAGCGTAGGATCGGTAGGGCCCGAGTCTGGTGAGACTGGGGGGATTGGAGGCGTCGGCACGGCCATGTTACCGCTCTGGAGATGGGATGCGGGGTCGGGCGAGGGATGCTCTGGGGAAGCAACCAGGCGTGTGGGCGAAGGGAATGTGTGTAGGGGGGAGGATAGAGGCGAGAAAGAGGTTGTTAATGCATCGCAGAGGAGCGGTTATATGGCAGGCGTGCGAACGGCCATGGGCGAGTGGACCTTGTTAGCCGTCGTAGTGGGGATTGGCTAGGGTGCTGGGAAGCTTTGCGAGGCTGTGCCCGTTGTGCCCTACGCGCAGTCCGGAAAGTGACGCACCTTCGTAGGCGCGGACCTTTATTTTCAGCTGGCTTGCATCATTACATCTACCATATACAGTTAACCATTTGGCCAACGGCATATTGCAACGGCGCTTGCAACGGCCGTGTCCTACATGTGGCTGAGACAGCGCCTCGTCATCCTCCGCAACAATCAAGCCGCTGCCCAACCCACGAGCCCAACCCACGCCCAATAGTCTCATACGCAGATATCGTACAAAATACCTCATTCAACGCCTATCCCATGTCCACTTTGACTTCCATCTCGCCGCACATGCCCATCTCTTACGCCGGCGTGTTCCATAAAACATATCCGTTACTCCTTAGACCAGTGAGGCCTACAAACTAACCCATAGCAAATCACCACGCATACCCGCCACCATCCTCATGATCATGATCATTACCGTTCCATTCTTCATCGCCGCTGGGTTCAGCATCAAGAAAGTCGGCCTCGTTGAAGATCTCTTCGCGCGGGCGGAAGTTGTCAATACGGAAAATGACCGTGTGGCACCGACCCTGCACAAACAGATGCTCATCTTTAGCTGATCCTTCGGTCTCTTCAGAACTAGGCCCATCATCTGACTCCTCGTCGTAGCTCATCGCTGCCTTGGAGCGAGACCGCAACCGCTTCGAGCCCCAGCCCTCCTCTTGCTTTTGTGCATCCGAAGGTACCAAAGGCGCATCACTATCGCTGTCATCGTTGTCATCCATGGTAAATTGAGCCTCCACCACTGTCTTCTCTGGCACGCCCTCGATGAATGAATCAACCTTATCATCGTCGCCAAGCTGCGCCTTCCATTCCCGGAATGCCCGTAGTGAGGCGAGATGAGGATTCGGTGCCTCCCATTTCTTTGCAAACACCTTCTTAAACTTGGCCGTCCATGTCTGTCTGAACTCTGCCCTCTGTCGCCAGTCGGTATCGACCATTGCTATGATAGTGATTTCTTGAAGAAAGGGAAGATTCTCGGCAGAGTCAATTAGCGATTTGAACAGGTTGGCAGCAGATGTTGAGTTCCAGTTTCGCAGATACTGTAGGTCCAGCGTTCGTAGCGTGCATGGCCACGTAGGAATCTCATTCTCGCCTAAAAGGGTTTCGTAGAGGGGTTCGTTGTCCGAAGACATGGCCAGAGAGCTGTAGTACGTCGTGTCCATTCTCAAAACCTCAAGCCTCGGACATGACCGCTTGAGATCGACGAGGAAAGACAAGTCGAGAGCTTGGTTATGATTAAGCACCAACTCTTCCAGGTGTACACCATGCGTAGCCAAAAAGGCTTGGAATGCATCAGAGAGTAGCTCGCCGCAAGCGGTAATGTTCAGGCTGACAAGGTTGCTCGGTAACAGGGGTAGGAGCCGCCCACTGACAACTCCACACGTCTCGAATGACAAGCTCCTTAACTGGGGAAGCACGGCCAGTGCAGACGCCAATAGCTCTTCTGTCGTTGGTGGAGCTTCAACATCATCGCTATCACCCTGGCTAACTTCAGGGTGGAATTTTGTCAAGGTCACATCGCGGAGGCTCTGAAACGCGCTATCTGTATGAATGCTTTTGATCCATAGAGGGCCCTGGTTACAGAAAGTACTGTTCCATCGCCAGCTTCTTAAGCGCAGACTCGTCTGGCGTAGGGCGTCAAAAAGCTCACTTGGGTATACCCACCGGCGGATTCGCCGAAGCCGTGGGCGAAATGGCGGTCTGTCCATGGGGTCAAAAATGTCAATTTCACGCAGTGTTGTCAGTGACTGGACCAGAGCTGCCAGATCTGTCACGCTATTGGTCGAGTCCGTGAGTGTAGTCATTTGCGTAGCATCCAGCTCCAATCGCTTTACCATGACCCGGTAGTCGTCATATGCTCCCTGCGGAGGCGCAATGAGATGGCGAACAAGATCTTTTCGAGACTGCCTAGTGGCAAATATCGGCGGATTACGATAGAGCGCTGTCAATGCCGGTTTTGCGAATGAAGAGCACATCCTAGCCATTTGTACAAGCCAAGGTATCGCAGAAGTGGGTTTCATATTCTCATCATGGAGTGGATGTGAGGCATAGACGAATATCTGAAGGAGTACGTGGTAGGGAAGCGAGGCCCATGCCTAGAGATTAAGACATTAGCATAACTGGTTGCATGTACGAAAATATCATGTCGGCCCCTCGTTCGGGTCATAGCATTCCACACTTGGTCTTGGGACATGGAATCAACTTACAGGTACGCATCCATCCGTGGGGATGTCGGTCACTCGCCACCCAACCTGCGCTTCCTCGTTCGGCGCAAGCGGTGCGCCCAGTACAGCACGCCGAGTGCGCCTGTCTCTGGGTGCGCGCTTCCTTTGTATCTCAGATGACGGTGGCGCACTCGGTCTTGACCTTGTTCGCACCACCATCACTCGCTTTTCTTCTACCTCAAAGTCCGCATCAGGTTCTTCTTCGTCTTCATCCGAGCTGATATCTTTGTATGAAACGGCCTCTTTACCTCGTCTCCGTGGATTCCTAGAGGGTTGCTTGCGCTTGACTAGGACAGGCTCTGGCGATGCATGTTCGCTTTCACTCGAAACTTGGTCGGCAGCGCGCATGCGCCGAGTTGATCGGCGAGAGGGAACGGTTCGCTTTTGGGTGGTTCGCTCATGGTCAGAACTCTCAGAAAGGTCATCGTCGCTGCTCGGTTCCTTGTAGGAGACAGCGACTCGTTTCCGCTTTAGTGTTACAGCCATGTCGTACGGATTCGGGTCGAGTAACCTCAGGGAATCTAGCTGAGGAGATGAATTAGTGGTGACTTGGGCCTACATCGGATATTTTCAGCTCTTCAGATTGGCCGTCTAAACGCAGAGAGTGGTTCAAAGCATGTTTTGAGTGTGCAGTGACTCGTGTGTGGTGTTGCGAAAGCGAATCGGGGACTTGTATGCGGAGTAATCACGGAGGTAGGAGACATGAGATCATCCCCGACTCCTGGCCCGATGCAGTTTGGTGCCCGCTGACAACACGTGACATTTCCGATCACAACAAACTACCCAACGATAACCACGGCACAAGGATCAACAATAATCACAGCATAGGGAGACGCCCTCTTTGTCTGCTTCTGGTCAGGATAGAAAGAGACAAAGAGTCATGTGTCTGTGACACCTACGCATCATCATAATTGCGCTCCAACTCCTTCTGCAGGACCATCGTCGCCGTTCAACTAAAGGGTGCGCGAAGTACCTATTGTGCAAACAGTTTGGCCTGAGTCCATCAAATGCGCATCTTCACCTCGAGTTCTTGCTTTCCTTAGAGCGCCACTAAGCGGCTGCAACCTATGTAAGTGATCTAAACTTCTTCCAAGTATATGCTGGAGCCATCTCTGATGTCCCTGGCGCGCTTGCAGAGCATGCCAGGACGGCGAGACAGGTTTTCCGGCAATATACTACTATACGACTACCTGTCGAGAAAACGAGCACCAATCTTCCTAGACCGGAATCTCACACAGATCCTGGATGCTCACGAGGATCTATTTAAGGGGGGTGATAGGAGCGGCTGTAGAACCCAGGATTTCGACTTTCGTTCCCAGTGGAAGCCCCCGTCCAGCGATCAACTGGACAAGATGATGGCTCAAGAGAATTACAAAGATTCTCTTGTGCTTGAAGTGCACGCCATCAACTCGCATAATGGCCAGACGACTGCACATACAGACCGTGATCATAACCCTGCCAACAAAATCCGGGTCTTAATGCGGTTATGCAGCTCAATTAGAGTCTCAATCATCCCGCCATCTGATGCACCTGCCACGCGCTCTTTTGCGCGCGAGGCTCTACTAAGAGGCGCAGATAGGAGTCATCAAGAAGCCTCAGTAGAAACCAGTCCCATCATCCTGAAGCCCAGAGATTTCTCGGCCGAACCAGGAAAAATTAGCATCCACGACATGTACAGGATGATTTTGAGCGTCAACTTTGCAAGTCAAGCGGACGCACAAGAGCTGTACAACTATCTAGGGCTCACAGAGGAAACAGCTACACACCTGTCGACCTCTTATCCCAACATACTTGAGTGTCCACCAGATAAAATCAGTTTGCCACTGAAAGCAGCTGGAAAGCCACTCGGGATAAGTATACAGATAAGCATGTACTGGAACAGCACTGGGCTTGGCGACTCAATCCTCGCAAACCATAACCGTAATCTCAGAAGTGCCACAGAATCACAGAGCTCATACCCTACCCCACCACGCGATCTGGTACCGCGATACAAGCTAACCTATGTCTACGGAAACGAGACTCTCGAGCGATCAGACCTTGTCTGTCTGCATTGCTCCAGAGGGAAGAAGCTTAAAGAGATCCGCGATCTTGAAATGCATCTGAACGCCTGGCATGACAATTTTGCCTACCAACTCGTCCCAGCAGGAACTGATGCCAACGGCGTTGCACACTGGCGATTCATCAGCGAAGTCGCAGATTCAAAAGCTGACCAAAGAGCAAGTGGTCGCGCTGACGAACCCCGTGACGTACGGGTGCTTGCTCCTGACCGTCCGTTCGACAAACGCCGTTTCCTCGAGGGTGATGACACCTACCAACGAGCCGCCCGGGTAGACAGGCATCTAAAATACCCCAAAAGAAAGCAAATAGCAGACATCCTCCAGCCTCCCGCACCACGTCAACGCAAACCCCCAAACGCCATACAAGAACGGCCCCCCAAACACAAAAAAACCTTCATCGTCCCAAAAGCACCGCGAGGCATCACCTTCTTCCGCTCCCTCAGCAAGCGACCTCTGCAACCTGGCGAGTCCATAAGCGAAAGCGACGACGAACTCGACGAATCATGGATGCACCTGCGCAAGCACGCAGAAATAGATAAACACGACTTATCCCTACCTGCCCGTCACTTCCTCAAACTCTTCGATGACTTCATGCACGAAGAGAGTCTGCACGCCGACATCCACGCGGGTGACGCAATCATCCGCTTCGCGCGCCGTAGAAATCCCGTGTGGAATGAGGATTTGATATACGAGTTTGCCAAGAAGTTGAAGGAGTTGCTGGAAGATGATGTTATTTCCAAGGATGTCCACGATGCGGCTATTGAGATTGTGGAGGTGCAAAAGAAAATCAGTATTAGTAACAGCGAAAGTAATAGCAGTACTAGTAACGAGCTCTCGCGGCGCCTAGCGGAACTTGATGTCCAGCGCGGCGAGGATGCTGAGCCGCCATTTGACAAGTGCTATTGTGGCGGAGATGCGGCGGTGAGTCCAGGGACGCAGGGTATAATTGCTTGTAGGAATATTGTAAGTCTGTCAGATCCCAAGAGTAATGCGGACGAAAAAAAGCTAATAAAGGGGACTAGGATTGTATACGCCGTGTTTTTCATCACGCATGCATACAAAAGCACTCTAAATACAAAGTGCCAGCCCCGGACCCAAAGTCCTGGACCTGGACATGTGATGACTGTAGAGATGAAGGTGTTGCGGCTACTTAGCCTGGGGGTTTTATTGGTCGAAGATTTTCTATTTAGCGAGAATGTGGGATTGGGCTTTTGGATTCAGGCGGGATTGTGGTTTGATGTCTATGGAGTAGAAAAATGTTTAATTAGGTGATTTGGAATATCGATTGCCCCGCGTGGCGTACTTTGAGCTGCTGAACTACTAGATTGTGTAATTGATGTGCATAAGTACAGCACCAATCGGGTGCTTTGAAGTCTGTTTGTTTGCAGGACAGCGTCATAGCGGAACACAGCTTTGACCTTTGTCATTGGCAAATCTTTTCCTTCGATTCAGCAGGAGACAATGTTACTCAGAGAAGCCACCAAGTACGCGAAACGCCTCGTTCTCATATGTACTCAAGTGTGTAAAAGCTTCGACCTTACGACCAACTCCACGGTTACCCGGCCTATACCACACATCTTATATGGACGCCTCATCCCCTTTTACTTATCCGCGCCTCCTTAGGCCCGCCGCAAATTGCTCTCCTTTCAGCCAAGGCCCCTCCTCCAAAGACTCCCTAATTCCTCGCCTCGCAATCCTTCCCACACGCGCTCGTCTATCCCACGATCCCAAGCCATCAAACCCCTAATACACATGCCCCAGCTCTATCTTACCAGCGATCACACGACCATCGCTCCAATCAAGTAAAGCAGTGCCAATCTCGCTTCCAAACACAACACGGCCCTTACCACGGCTATATCTCTGAAAGCAGAAAAATTAGCAATGAAAAATCTCACTTTTTGTTTCGCATTCCGCACATGCACCGCTAACGCAGGTACCGAACGCGAAACAATAAACCCTTTCGGTCATGTATGACATTGACCTTTTCCTACCCCCTCTTACAAAAAGAGGGAATGACAAGTGCTCCATGCCTACAAAAAGAAAGTCTAAGCAGCCCTACGGCCGTACCGGAGATCTACAGTTTGCTTTTGGATAGGATGAGCCCTAGTCAGCCACAAGAAGGGGCAGATATCGGAAACATGGGTCCGTAATGGCAAAAAGTATGTACGAAAGAGGCGAAATAGGGAGCGTGAACAATTCGGTAAAAGGCACGGGTACGTTTTCAGAGACTGAGTCAGCGCAAAGAGGCGAGCGGAGCCCTTCGTGGTTATGCCTGTATGCGGGTTGGATAAGCAAGCAACAAGGGTAACACGGATTATATGATCGCCGGATATGGAAACGAAGAAGGCGGGAATTGCGGAAAGGAAGGAACAAGCTGGGTTATAACGGACACAGTGTTAAGGGCATTTTTTTTCTCTTGGTGTGCGTTTGTTTCAAGTGCCGGAATGGGGTTAGAGGGGGTATGCGTAATAATGTAAGCGCTAGTAGAGACAGAAGACGGTGGATGGTGGTGGTGCACCTAGAAGGAAAGGATGCGTGGAAACAGTTAGGCACATACCTGTTATATGCGACAAAACAACCCATTTGGCTGTCCTTTGCGCTTCATGCAAGATTTACGATGCGATACTATGCCGCAGCTGGCGGCCTGAGAGTTGCATCGCAATATTGAACAAGAAAAATGGCGGCGGCGGCGATTCCTTCTTCCCTTCACCTGCGTTACGCGTGCTACCTGCCAACATGGCGGATCGACGGCAAGAGAGAGAAGGAAGAACATATGGTCCATGCACACCTGTCAATTCATCTTCCATTCTCCTTCCCTCTTCGTCTCCCTCTGCCGAAACATTCTCCAAGGAAGCTCCTTGTCAACAATGCTGAAACAAAACGCCCCAACCTAGATAATTTAGCCAGATTAACGGCAATTTGACCATTAGCTCACAAAAGCCGAGGCCAGAGGAAGCGAATGGCGTGTTTCCGCTCAGTTTGTTCGTCCGACTTCTCTGCATTGGCTTAAAGAAGATAAGTATCGGTCGTATACGCATATTCAGCTAAAAACAAATCACCGCATGCCAAAGCAACAGGACCGAAGAGAAAAAACCGCCTGATGTCAATCAACAAGCCAATTGTTCTTGGGTTTGTACGTAGTTCAAAGCCGGCCATTTCTCATGACGGGCCGATCCATACCACGGGCATCTTTCCATCCCGAGATATGAGAAACAAAATAATAAACAGAGTTTTTATTTCCCTAGGTGGACCCCCGGAGCGTTGGTATACGGGTAATTGATGGTCCTTTTTTTCTGTTCTAAAATAGAATTCTCCCGTTGCCGATCGCGAGAGCGGACTATTTGCTTTTCTAGGGATAGATGATGAAGTAATGGTTCTCGAGCGGGGATCCAGAAAGTAAAAATAAAATAAAATACTGACGATAAGGACACATTGTTTATTTCTCTGCGATGTATCAATTTAGGCCGCTTTTGCGAACAAGGGAACCCAACACAACTTGTGAGGAATAACCTTTTAGTCTCACGATCGACTCGGGTTTGCGCGTCCGCAACCGCAATCGTGGTTTGTACAGGCTAAGTTGGTTGGATGGCATGTGTCTGTTTTGGTTTTCAGCGTTGGGACTTGGTCGATGCGTGCATGCATTGGCGTTATGTACACTCCCTTTTCGCTGCAGAAAGTTGTCGGCAGGCCTAAATTCGTGGCCGTAACATGCAACTAGTCATTCGCTCGCCAGCCGCTCAACCAATACTTGCTGCCCTTTGCCCATACTCCTCCCAACCACCTCCTTTTTCTGGCGGACAAGGCTCATCGAGGTCAAGACTCGTAGGTGTAATCGATTGCCGTGTTGGGATGGCATTCTAGAGGGCGCTTAGATGCAGTTCGCCAAATCTTCTTGCGCAAAGTAGTATGGACACCCCTGTACGTACGGTCATGCGTACCGAGCAGAAAAGTGGGCGATAGTGGTACCAGAGCTTGTAAGATATTTCTGGGTGAAACAAGACCCCGTTGCTTATGTCGCGCGCCGGTGTTGATGCTACCATACCCCACCCGATTCGTCTTCCCAGTCACTTCCTATGCTGTTTTCCTGGTCAGCCTGCAGGCACTTAACGTCGTGAAAGGCTCATCATCGCTGACTGAATGGTCGAGACACAACTAGGTTCACGGACAGAGGCGAAGTACCACATGGTACGGGACATGTTTTCTCCAAATAATGGGAAACATGATATGCTGATTGGCCATGGCCGGTTCTACTGTTGATGTTGTTGCTAATGGGTGCTTTTTAGGTACAGAGGCCGTGATGCAGGACTTATTGAGAAACCATCTATCGTACACGTAGTGAGAAAGAAATTGACCAAGGAAAGCACCTGATTGCCAGAAAAAGGAAATGCGGACTCTGGACTCGTTAAGACGGCGGATGTAAAACATTACCTAGGTATGGTAGTCAACTCGTGCCCCAACCTTCATGAGCGTCGACGTGCAGTCAATCAAGAAAAGAACCAACGAATCTGGACAAGGAAATGAGATTGAAGGAGAAGACAATGATGGTGTGCTTGGGGAACAAACAGCCCCAAAGCAGGAGTAACCACATGAACATGATAGTTGATGCATGCGCGGAACTGGCAGAGTATACCTCCATGGTTTCATGGCCATAAAGGTCATCGTAAGTGCATAAGTAAAATCGTTGACGGAACAGTTTCAAAACAAGATTACCGCCGTATGGTGCTTTTGTGACGAAGGAAATGTTGTTATATGCCAACCGTGTCTTTAAACGAGTGAGGTGTCGTAGTTCGTGCTTGAGTCTCTTCGACTCCTTCCATGCGGACATCTCTGTCCCTTACTTCTGTTGAGGAAGGCAAAGGCGCAGAGTTTGGTGTGAATGCTGAATATGCTTGATTGCGACTAGGATCGCCCGATCCATATGTAAGGGGAGATCCCATGCCGGTGGGTGTGTGGAGTTTCTCCAGCTCTAGCGGCTGCGGTCTTGCACGCCTTCTCTTTTCCGATGACGATTCTGACCCTTGCTCGACTCCAGTTTGTTGCTGTGGCGTCTGTACAGGAGGTGCTTGAGAAGAAGACGTTGTTGGAGGAGTGGTACGGTCGAGCGGTCGTGGATCTGGGCCTAGTGGTGATTGTTCCGGTGGCCCCGTGAGAGACTGTCGCCCCCTTCTTGGAGGGGGATATACTTCGCCTCGCGCTGCAGCTTCCTGCGCTCTCTGTTGCGCCTCGGCCTTTGTCGGTCTTCCGCGCTTTTTCTTATGCGTCGGTTCGCTCGGCGGATGTACAGCCGAGGGATAGGCAGGACCGGCAGGTATATATTCTCCTGGGTAGGAATGAGGCGGTCGAGGTTGTAGCAGTCGTCCAACCGGGGTAGATGTCTCTGGCTGATGTGGTCGCTTCTTAGGGACTTCGGGACCTGGGTACATCATTGGGGCTGGTAAGTGAGGACGCCGGTAGTCTTGTCCCGGCACAGAGTAGGTTGCTGCAAGAGTATCGAATGCCATTTGGCTAGAGCGAACAGACCGTCCTAAAGTAAAAGTGTCGCATCAGTATTAGAGCACTATGCAGGTAATTTGGTATAGGATTGACAAGTTGAATGAACAGTTGGGATGCGGTAACAGAAGAAGAGATAAGTGTCAGCATACCAGGAGGCAACGCCATGTCGTTCCATCGCGGCTGGATATTGGTATCGCGTATGAATGCAAAGAGAACATGAGAGGGTACTTGAGCAGCTTTTAGCACTTCAGCTAGTAAGTATACCTGTAAAGGACAGGTCAGGTCAGTCATAGATCACAATGGGGATGAGTGCCACATGTCATGTTTTGGAGGGGTACGTACCTTTTCGTGCTCTGCCCATGGTGGCTCGCGAGAGGGCTCCATGTCGTGATCCTCGAGACAATCGAAATAGGCGAGGGTTGAAGACTAAAAAGCAGCTACGGCAAAATGTCGCTGTATGTATGTATGCAACCAGACAAATCGAGCATCGATCACAAGGGCCGTAAAGTAAGTGGACCGGCGCGAAGAGCAACGCGCCCTCGCGCGCGGTTGTATGGCTGCGTCTACCAACAGAACAAACGAGAGTGCTGAAACGAAATAGTAACGAGCGGTAGAAGAAGAGCACTAAAATCAAAGAAACCTGCGGCGGGCTCTGGTTGTCGGTTTCATGCCAGCAGGCAACAAGAGCGCGTCAAAGGGACCACAGCATGAGGCTGGGTCGAGATAATTAGGAGACTGCTTTGCTTGTCAGAGATTACTGGGAAGAGCCACCCGGTATGTTATACATTAGCGGATTTTGTCGAAAACGAATGGGAAAGCGGCTAGTCCCCACTTGCAGACTGTAGCTCCCAAGGCTTCCCGCACGGGGACCGTCTAAATCAGTGCTCGTCGCAAATCGATAACAAAGCCTAGGTATGTAACAGAGATCTGGCGGCGCTTTAACCCATCTCGAAAGCCCTCAGTGGATGTTCAGAAACGATTGCGCAAACCGATGAGCCAATCGCTAGTCATCTGGGCTGAGCCGTGTCTCACCAGCCGTGGAGGGTTTAGGCTGAGACCAAAGGGCCTTTCTTCCCTTGCACCACACGTCCCTGCCTGCCTCGTTTCCCCATGCTTACTTCTGCCTGTGTTGAATTACGAAGGCTGGTCAGTACAGTATAGATGTACCGCGTTTTACAAGATAGCGGTGAAAGCAATGGCGACCATGTGCCAGTGTGTCACAAGGCAGCAACAGTGGTTCGCGGCGTGCGTGCAATCTGTCAAGCGCGGTTCAGCGCGGATCGTCCAGAGAGCGTCGCGCCTAATGGGGGGTAACGGAAGACGGCGCTGTAATCCCTGTCTCCAACGGTGCGATCTGTAATATCCTCCAAGGACCGGTACTAGCGAGATGGGCACCGAGAAGCACAAACGTCGCGGCTGCGCAGCTCGACTTTTTTTTTTGTTGGCTGCACTTTCCTTGTGGCTGCCGGGCGGTCGTCAAGGCAAGTCTGATGCATCGACGCCTACTTACACCGTAGCTGCTACTATCTGCTGCATCTCTTGCATCGTATTCCGCGCGAAGCCACTTTTACTTGACCATCGGGAGCGGGCCGCGACTCGGCATGGCCTCCAATGATGATGACGGTCAGCCAGTCAGCTAGTCAGCCAGCCATATGGAGGTAGGTGGAGGAGTCCTTTTCCATGGAGTGCGGGCCTCACGTCTCAGAAGACCCAGGCCGCGTCAAGGGGGCAGGCAGCCTGGTGCAGGCGGCATGAATGGCTGTCGTGCCGGCATCATGGGTGATGGGGATTTAGGAGTAGGTAGCCGTTGGGTCAGAGTTTGCGCTAGTGTGCTTGCGGAGAGATACAGCTGCTGCTCGCTTAAGTAAGCCAATTACGGCCGTCTGCCAAGCCTCAAAGCTCCGTAATGAACTCTCCACCTTGCACTCTACCTACCGCTCGAATACGTAGACACTCGCGCCCGATGCTGCTCTCTGACGCATGATAGCACCCATGCCATGCACAGGCCGAGCGATCGGGTGGATGGCGACGGCGACGACGCTGTCCGGCATACATTGTCAAAACATATATACTTACTACCTACGTACGTTCATGCAAATATCCCGTAACCTATATATGTCCGCATACAGATATGTAGTAGTATACACACGACATGCACGACGCTAGGTGCACACGGGGTCAAGCCAAACTACACTCTCCCAGCCCAGCAGGCTGTCCTTTTCTCGATACGTCATGAGCCGCTGATCGCTGATTGCAGCCCAAGCATGGACTCGAGTTCATTGTGGAAGCAAAATAAAAAGGGTATTTCTTTTTTGCCTACTATGCACAGCTGTATTGGGTTTGCGCTAGCCGTGGTCCGGGCTGCTTTCTTTTCACACAAAGCAGGTTCCCCACGGCTTCACACCACTTTCGCAGCCTTCGGAGACATCATTCGGCATCTTTTATGATGCCCGACGGTCCTGTGGGCGCCGAGGCTATTGTGAGGCGCGCTAGGGCAACCCCATCCAATGTATTCGACATGTACATGAGTCGTCCCCAGACCCGCAAATAGCTCCCCGTGGGCCTCAATGACACTTGCCTGCATGCATCAGCACCAATGGCACCGACACTGATGTGCAAGCCCTATGCCATGGCCGGAGTACATTTTCCATGGCCGAGCACCCTCACTAGCGACTTCTCGTACAACGTCGAGACCTTTGTGGTGCTCGGCCATGCTTTCGCGCGTAGCACCTGACGGAACGTCCATAGACCATCTAGAGCGCCAACGGGGCCGGTGTAAGTGGCCATCTCCCTAGCGTTCGCAACAGAGCCGCTCCATGGCCTCTCCTTGCCCAATGTTGCCACGTTCTGACGACCCTTTAGAGTCTCCTCGAATTGCCAAGAAGTTGACATTTTATCATGTCAACAGACTTGGCCTCTATCTGCGTGAGCAGTACCTAATGCACGCTGAATTCTTTGTGCTGTTTCTTCTTGCCACATCTATTTACTTGTGTCGGTGACATGGTTTGCGTGCGCCCAAGTAGCCGTTGCCGGCTCAGGAGCCCTGCATCCGCAAGGGCAAGGCTGAGACTGGGCAAGGTGGGACAAGCCTAGTTTTTGTTCGCCATCTCCAAAGTACCATCAGCAAACCCCCCACGTCGCGTACGGCGCCGCTCCAACACATCGTCTTCCACCCGGGCCCACCAGTTCATGCTCGCTTATACAACCAGTGCGAGTCCGCATGTGAGGAAAACACAAGACATTTGCCAACCGTGTCGGTGAGCCGAGCGCGCTCGAATCCGCGACCATACCTGCGTGCGCCGACGCCCCGAACTCGCGCGCCTTGCTGCCATCCGCACCCTCAAGAAATATATATTTATACTATTACCAAGCTTTCTTGCTCTGCGTCTCTAGCTCGCTTTGTGCGTATATAACACAAGTCAAGCCATCGCATTCCGCCCTTTGTACAAGGGGGAAGTAAAGATTTGCCCCCTCAGCCGTTGGCCCAGGTGTCCCAAGCGACCGCGTTTCGTCCTAGTAATCCGCTTTTTGCTCAACTTCACAGGGACGAGTTTTGATATTATCTATTACGTGCGCGTCGCTCGGACCATGAGGTGAATGAGTAGTCGTTTCTGTATGCGTGATCAGAGGCATCGAACGTTAGCGTCCCTTTTATCCAGAACCTCGCGATCCTCTACCTGCCGCCCCCAGCATCCTCCTCCACCCCCACGACGGTCGCCAACATGTCGAGCCACGATTCGGAAAAGGACCACGCTCAATTAGAGCCTGAGCTACGCGAAATGAAGCTGGAAGGCGCGGCCTCGGACGAGGCAGGTGAGGGCCACGGCTTAAGCCAGGTAAAGGTGGAGGACGCAGACTCACTCGATCGCGCACCCACGCCCCTCGCCATTCCACCCAGGCTCAAGTCGCGATCCAAATCCCGGTCGCCTGTGATTAAGCAAGAGTCTGAAGCACCCTCGCCCGGCAGCGCCCACGAAGAAACCCTGGGCGGAGACATCACGTTGAAGATGGAACCCGGCAAAGCACCCAAGCTGTCGCGTACTGCAGCCCAGAAAGTCGTCGCACGGCCGCCTCCGTTGTACCTCAACCTCCCAGACTCGACCGAAGCCGCCAAAGAAACCTTCACAGTACTCACCGAATGCACGTACGCGAACAAGACTATCGGCACAACAGACCCGGCGCTCGAATGCGATTGTCAAGAGGAATACGACCCTGCAACTAGGAAAAATCATGCTTGTGGCGAAGATTCGGACTGCATCAACCGCGCCACAAAAATGGAGTGTGTGGGGGATTGCGGCTGCGGTAGGCGGTGTCAGAACCAACGCTTCCAGCGCAAACAGTACGCCAATGTCGCTGTCATCAAGACGGAGAAAAAAGGGTTTGGACTGCGTGCCAACAAAGACATGGCACCAGGCGAATTTGTCTTCGAGTACATTGGCGAAGTTATTGACGAGCGCACCTTTCGTCGGCGCATGGGCCAGTATGATGAGGAGGGAATCAAGCATTTCTACTTCATGTCTTTGACCAAGGGCGAGTTTGTAGACGCTACCAAGAAGGGCAACCTTGGCCGGTTCTGCAATCACTCATGTAATCCCAACTGCTTTGTCGACAAATGGGTTGTCGGGGATAAGCTACGCATGGGCATCTTCGTCGAGCGACAGGTCAAAGCCGGTGAAGAACTCGTCTTCAACTACAATGTGGACCGATACGGCGCGGACCCGCAACCTTGTTACTGCGGTGAACCCAACTGCAGTGGTTTCATTGGCGGAAAGACACAGTCTGACAACGCGACAAAGTTGTCCACTGACATGATCCAGGCTCTTGGCATTGATGATGGTGCTGCCTGGGACACAGCGGTTGTTGCCAAGAAACCCCGCAGAAAGAAGGCGAGTGAGGATGATGAGGAATACGTCAATGATCTGCAGCCAAAGGAACTCGACGAGGATGGAGTCAAGAAAATCGTGCCTGCTCTGCGCCAGTGCACCGAAAAATGGATTGCTGTCAAGCTGCTCAGCCGCATGCAGAATAGCAGTGAGAGGGTTGGCCATCGCATTGTCCAGTTTCACGGCTACCAAACATTAAAGAAGACGTTGAAAATATGGAAGGAAGACGCTAATGTAGTGCTGCAAGTTCTCGACATCCTCCAAAGACTACCGCGAATCACTCGTAATAAGATTCAGGAATCTGGCATTGAAGAAGCGGTCGCTGAACTAAACGGCTACGGCGATGAGCGGGTCGAAACTCTAGCTACAGAACTTCTTAATGCATGGAGCAAGCTGGAGGTTGCGTACAGGATACCTCGTATAAAGAGGGATCCAAATGCCGCCACACCTGTCCGAACCGAAAATCACTTCGAGCGGCGTGAGCGAGGTAGGGAGCGATCGAGGTCTAGATCCAAGTCACCGTCTGCAGTCGCGCCGAAAGGCCCATCAGCTACGAACATCCCTTCAGGCCCTCGTGCCTTGAATGCACCCCGCGGTCCGGCCAATTTCTTTCCTGCTGCCCGACCAGCTAATCGGCCTCGACCGCCAAACAGTCTTCCTCCGGGTTGGTTTCAAGCTACTGCAGAGAATGGATCGACATACTTTTACAACTCCTCAGGCGTCACACAATGGCAGCGCCCGACCCAGGCTGTCAACGCACCACCCCAGCCGAACAAAGCCAAGAGCGACACCCAAATGCTACAAGACATCATATCGCGCATTACCTCGACAGAAACCCCCACTGGGAACTCTGCGTCCACCACTCCGCAGCCTGTCCCTGACGAACTCAGAGAGCCGGTGCTGCGCGATGAAAAGTGGCGAAGTCTGCCGATAGAGAAGCAAGAAAAGATATACGAGGCGACCGTGAGTACATTTGATTTAATACGCAGTATGTAACTGACATTTATAGCTCTCACCTCACGTCATGGCTGTAACCTCATCTTACCGGAAGAAATTCGAAAAGGAGGAAGTCAAACGACTCAGCAAAGAGGTAAGGTGCTCTCTTTGATGTCTATATCTGCTTGCTAACCGTATTGGTAGGTGGCAAAGAAGCTCGTGCGCGGTGACTACAAATCTGGGCGTGTCAAGGACCCCACGGCTAAGATTAGCTCGAACCACGAGAAAACAGTGCGGAAATATGTCAAAGAGTTCATGGAAAAAGCCGTCAAGAAGAAGGACGAACGGCAGAAGATCAAGACGCCACAGAATGACAACATCCGTAGCACTTCTGATGGCCTGGCAGCCACTGTTGACGAGGCCTCTCTTTCCGACTCTGCCTCTGAATTGAAGCGCAAGAGAGAAGAGGAGGGTCGATTTGGCTCACCGAAGAGAACACGGACAAGCTCGGAAACCCCACAACCCGCACCTCCACCGCCTCCACCACCACTTGAGTCAACTGAAGACGCAGAGTCTAGTCTCACACCTATGGATGAAACCCCTATAACCTCGTTTCCAGACGCTGCTGATAGCCTGCCTAATGGAGTAAAGGCAACTCTCCAACTTGGTGATTATGGTAGTCCGATGCAGCTCGCGACGCCTCCCACAAACGGCTTCGTTGATCAGAAGCAGCCACTTGTAAACGGCAGTAATGGTAAGCACTCCCAGTAGCCCGCTCTGGGTAGTCTTTTTTTCGATTTCTGTGTTACTTGCGCTTTTTTTTTATCTTTTTGTAATCAGTTCGAGATCCAAACACACTGGGCCGAGAAGGTTTCGGTTGCATAAGCATATCAAAAGGCGTTGGGGTAGTTGAAAGAACTCGCAAAAGTGGTTCTGTGGGTTTGCTGTGTTTTGGACCGGCTATCGAATGCATGAAAGGCGGAAGGGGCATGGAGTTTTCTCGTGACGAAAGTCGTCAAAAACTTGCTAATTCCATGGTACTACTTTTCTTTGCGCTCGTGGAATCCGGGATGGGCTGAAAACTACCACTCGTGTCATTGGTACTCATGGGTCAAATGAGGTGCGCCGATAGGTTGGGTATATGAAAACATTTTGATTATACGTTCCGATTGCTACATGCGTGTAGAGGTGATGTTACAATTATTCGGAAAATCGGAAATCGATAGTGACTTCATGATGTAACAGAATGTCTCCTAATACATTTCTTTGTGTCATGGCTACCCTAATAACCACCCTATTACCCCACCGTGAACCGACATTTGGCGTGGTGACCCTTGGTACATTGCAGCCTATAAGCAGTTACTCCTCCTTCTACCATAGCCCCTTCTGAACTGTCGTATCATGCCGCTACGTGTCGGATGCATACCCAGACTCAACCGTGTGGAATCTTGACACATAGGGCGGAACAAGACATGCAGAACCGATACACGTGGTTTGCTGACAACAACTAACTACCCCGCGCCAGTAACTCTCCGTGCGTGACACTGCCGTGGCGTACGAGGCGTCTGCGGCGTGTATCGGATCGGACTGCCAAATTTATCGTCTGAAAGGGGTTTAGTTGAGGGTTCAAGACGTACACTAGAACTTAGAGGCTCACTTGGTCGAGCTTATGCGGGGATAGCAACGGGTTAGAGCCGGTTGCCCAAGTAGCTCTATCAGCGGCACCGAGAGATTGTTGGTATAAAAGGCGGTGGCGCTCTTCGCGAGGGATGTTTCTGGAGTTGATTCTAGTATTCTTTTCAACTAGTTGAATAGTATTCAGAATCTCTCTTTCTCTGGATTGTGCCATTGCAAGACGCCCCGCCGACACCTCTTGATTGGCGTCACGTCTCCCCGCACCTCGACTGTGCATCCCCAACATCTTCTTTGAAACCACGTTTGCACGCTGTATACACCGACAGCTGTATATACAATGGCTTCTCTTCTTCGTACTGCCGGCCGTTCGCGGGCGATTCTTCCTCGTGTGAATGCTCACACAGCCTCAAGGGTACCAATGACGCTCAATAGACGATATGCTACCGCAGCCGCCGCTGTCGCTACAGACAGCGGAGAGCAGTCGTTCTTCCCCGACGAGCCCAAGCTGCCAATTGTGAAGACACAGATTCCCGGGCCCAACAGCCAAAAGGCTATTGAGAAGCTCGGCAAGGTGTTTGATATCCGAAGCTTGAACATGATGGCCGACTATTCACGAAGCTACGGCAACTAGTATGTTTCTCTATGCTTGAACTTGAGGGTAATTAAACTGACTTTTGACAGTATTGCCGACCTCGACGGCAATGTCCTTCTCGATGTATATGCCCAGATTGCCTCTATCCCAGTCGGCTACAACAACCCTTCTCTCCTTCTCGCAGCCACCTCCCCAGAAATGGCCTCAGCGATCATCAACCGACCCGCCCTCGGAAACTTCCCTCAGCACGACTGGGCCGACATCCTCGAAAGCGGCATCCTCTCCGTAGCACCTAAAGGCCTCAACCAAGTCTTCACCGCACAAGCCGGTTCCGACGCCAACGAGCTCGCCTACAAAGCAGCCTTCATGTGGAAGCGCCAGCAACAACGAGGCGGCGCCGACGCCGACTTCTCCGCCGAAGACATCGCCTCCTCCATGAACAACAAATCCCCTGGCGCCCCGGACATGTCGATTCTCTCCTTCAAAACCGGGTTCCACGGCCGCCTCTTCGGCAGTCTCTCTACAACCCGCTCAAAGCCCATCCACAAACTCGACATCCCCGCCTTCGACTGGCCACAAGCCCCCTTTCCCCAGCTCAAGTACCCCTTGGCAGAGCACGAGGCGGAAAACAGGCGAGAAGAGCAGAGATGCTTGGATGAAACAGAGCAGTTGCTTATGAATTACCACAACAAACCCGTCGCCGCCGTGGTCGAACCCGTCCAATCCGAAGGCGGCGACAACCACGCCACCCCCTTCTTCTTCCAAGGGCTCCGCGAAATCACAAAGAAACACAACGTCCTCCTCATCGTTGACGAAGTCCAGACTGGCGTCGGTGCAACAGGCAAGTTCTGGGCGCATGAGCACTGGGGTCTCTCTTCCCCACCCGACATTGTTACTTTCTCCAAGAAAGCCCAGACCGCAGGTTATTATTTCGGCAACGATGATTTGAGGCCGAATAAGCCGTACCGCCAGTTTAACACGTGGATGGGTGATCCCGCGCGTGCAATCTTGTTCAGAGCCATCATCCAGGAGATTCAGAGATTGGATCTCGTGAGTAGTACTGCTGCCACTGGCGATTACCTTTTCAGTGGGCTAGAGCGCTTGGCGGAGAAGTATCCTGCTGAGATTCAGAATCTGCGTGGAAAGGGACAGGGGACTTTTATTGCGTTTGATAGTGGGAGGAGGGATGAGGTGCTTAAGAAGGCGAAGGGCCAGGGGGTGAATATTGGAGGCTCCGGGGAGAGGGCGGTGAGGTTACGGCCTATGCTTATTTTCCAGAAGCAGCATGCGGATTTGTTGCTTGAGAGGTTGGAGAATGTGTTTAGGGGGTAGATGTGTGTGGGGAGGATATGGGGATTCATGAGCAAGGTGTTTGGGGCGTTTTTTCATAGCCCTTTGATGTGGGTTATCGGGACTTAAGTTGACCTATTTTTTGTATTTTTGCATAAGCAAACCATGTTGGACTAGTTAGCAGCTGTATCGTTTCCAATTCTTGCATGTTGTATCTGGGTCAGCGTCTTATCAGAATACATTGTGAGCGCTAGTCTTCCTCTCTTTACCAAGCTCGCTTGACTCTTCTGACATTTGCTCTATCTGAGGCTTCAGATTATACATTCTCCTCTTTGTTTTTCTCGCGAACAGACCTCCAACTTCACCTTTCTATGAAGAAGAGAGAAAGAAAGGAAGATGCTCAGCTTGCCCCCGCCAGCCTCCAACAAACATTCACCAGCGCCGCAGTAGCACTAAGATGGGCAAATGTCCTCGGCACCGCCATATTACCCACATACGCCGGATAGTGCACCATGAGTTTTGCCATGACATGGAAGCCGAGCAGGTTGACAATCTGAGCATCGCTGGGCGCCATAATCTGAGCTAGAGCCGCCGCGAGAGCGAATGCTATTATCCCACTTACATCAGCGACTGCACATCAATTCGGCAATTAAATCCACCAGGGATTTGGGAATGCAGAGATGGGATAGAGGAAAGAAACTTACCGGGAAAGTTCTCCATAAGAGCATAATGCGCGCTGCGTAGTCTAAGTGGCAGACCCTCAAGCTGATGCACGTGCTTCCTCGGGTGATCATTGTCGAGGCCCTCGCGGCGACCCATGGCTTGGCCTGCGGCGGAGAGGGCACCCGACGCACCGAAAGTCCAGAAGAGGTAGAGAGTGGAAAGAGCGGGGATGGCGCGACCTGAAGTTATGCCCGTAGTCTTTTTTTGGTTGATTTAGCCTATGTTGGTTGTATGTGTGTGTGTGAGGGTTTCAGAAGAGGGGGCTTACGTTGAGTCCTGGGAGGAGCTTGATGATGGCGTGGACGAGGGATTGACATATACTTTCTGGGGCAGTGAGGTAGGTGCTTTTGCTGGTTGTTAGAATTTGGGGGTTGGATGTGGGTGGCATTGCGTGTATGGTACGTACGTGACTGGAACGAGGGCGATGTACATGGGCGCTGCAGCCATTACCATTGCTCCCGAGGGGTTGACACTGCGATTGCGTGTGTTAGTGGGTGTTTATAGTGTTTCTATTCGTGCCTCGTGTTTTCCGTTTTTGTCGATCAAATGCGATATGTGAAGAGTAGAACAGTGGAAATACTTACATGCCATAGTCGGCGGTCGCCTGTTTTGCCTGCTCTTTCTTGTCGTCTGTCATATTTGTCTCTTTTTGCGTTCTCGTCGGTCTACAGTCAAGTTGGAGAAGATAGGTCTAGACTTGTGTAGGTGGAAAAGGAAAAGAAGAACCCTATCAAGTTCCGAGGGGTGGAAGTGATGTGCTCGTCTAACGAGAAAGGCAAGCACTACCGTGGTGAAGCGGGTATCAGGTAGGAGGAAGTGAGCATAAGGCCGACTATATACAAAGAAGACAATGGCCCCATTGTTCACTGGCACTTGCGTGTCCGATGATCGATGACGTGTGGGCGATTCTCATCCCACCCTCGCGGCGTATATAGAGGCCGAGAGGATGGGTGGTGTGTGTCAAGCGTCGGGACTATACCCTTGGCAGGTTCATTGGCCGGAGGTGGGGTCGCTGGCGCTGGCTTTAGATGAGGCAGTGTGGCTGGGGTCTGGACTAGGCCCTATGGCTATCTGCGGGGTTCCATCACATCCGGGGACGTACGAAGAGAGCATTCTGGGTGTAGAGTATTTGGAAGCGCTAGACAATTACGTTTGCAGCTGTCCTGTTTGGTACATGTGGCAATCTTGACCTTAATTTCTACCATATTGAGGCGTTTTAATGCAAGCTGTCCATGTGCATATGTCTGCAGATCCCACCTGCACTCATGAGGTGGGCGCGCTACCATCATGGTCTAGCCCCGCTTGTTAGCCTTGTCATTTCATGTACCAGCAGCAGATAAGGTGTCAGCAGTGGGCAAATAGAAGAGCCTTGTAGCACGACATGTCAGGTGAGTCAAGTCAAAGCTGGACATCGCACTGTTTGAAGACCACATTTCAAGCCTCTGGCCAAACTAGATGGCAATCACTAAACTGTATGTTTTAGGTCCCCGTCGATCTATATATTTTCCCTCAGCCTCGCGACCAACAATAGATGAGAAAGCTAATTTTCTTCCCAAGTCAAGTTAAAACGTCCAGGCGCATTCTCGTACTCTTTCAAGCATGTAATGACCTCGTCAGCTGTGAGAGCCTCAGACAAAATTCCAGCGTTGGTAGGCGCAATGAAGCCGCTCCTGACGGCATTCTTAACCCACTCAATCAGTCCAGTCCAGTATCCATCGACGTTGAAGACAATGACTGGCATGCTGTGAATGCCCAATTGGTTCCACGTTGTAATCTCCATAAGCTCTTCGAACGTTCCGTAGCCGCCTGATAGGGCCACGAAGCCGCCACCAGGGCCTCCCTTGATGACCTCCTGAGCCATCATCTGCTTTCGTGTGTGCATGTCCTTGACGACCGTGGTGCGTCCGTATATGGATTCATCAATGGAGTGCTTGTCGGGATCGGCAGGGTCGTGGTTCTGCTCGAGGCGGGTGAGGGCAGCGGGAATGATGCCGTGGACGCTGTCGGGGCCTGAGAGCGAGACAAGAGTGCGTGCTACTTCTCCCATGAGGCCCACAGTGCCACCGCCATAGACGAGCTTGGTGTTTGCCTTGTGCAGGGCGAGTGCAAGAGCGCGGGCAGCTTCCATGTGCACGGGTGATGTGCCGCTCGAGGCGCCGCAACTATGGCAGTTAGCATGCGAGTGGGGGAATAAAAAAATGCCAATTTGCACATACAATACGCAGACGACAGGCTGCTTGGGGGTGTCATTGGTAGTTGCCATGTTGTATAGATGATGTTCGTAAGTGTTCGGAACAGGTTCGGAACGAAATGTACCAGAGAAAATGGATGATGATATAGTAGCACAAGGCTCAAGTAGGCAGTGCTAATAAGTAAGGGTACTTGGGTGTTGTCAATTCCAAGTGAGGGCAGGAAAAGCACACAAAGGACCGTGTGGTTGTCGACTCATACATACATACACATCCACACATAATAGGCAGCAGACGCAGGGCCTTGTGGGCCCGTAGCATGTAAAAGACGTGCAGTTCGGTCAGCCGCATTGCGTCACCCCAGCCTATGCCGGCATGCCGCCCGCCCATGTGGCTAGACCCTGACACTACCAGCCCGTCTTGGCCCGCCCCAGTTCCTCCGCCCGCTCTGCCAGGCCATCTGTTCTCACATCGCGACTCCACCTCTCTTCTTTTTGGCTTCCTGGACACCAATCTGCTCAAGTCGGAATTCCAATTCCGCACGCTGCCATCATGCCAGAGGCACAAGCAGCCGCCCAGGCGCCCGAGCAGGGCAAGAGCGCAAGTTTTCCCAACGCCCCTCTGTGTTGCAATGTATACTAACATAGCCCGCAGATCCTCACCTCCATTGCCCAGAGCGTGGGCATCTTCATGCTCATTCAAGGTGGAATGAAGTATCTCATGCCACAGGCCCAACAGACTGCGCCCTCCGCCGCCGACCCGTCCCAACCCGGAGCAGTCGCCCAACCGTCTGGCAATGTTGTGATACCCGCCTGGGAACAGCGTCCCCAATCCCTCGCACCAGGCGTTCAATGGAGCCACATACCCTATGCCGTCGCACCCATGTGGCCTGTTGGCACTGAGATGGACATTGCCATGTACATCTCAGCCTCCGTCGCCATGCCGCCGCTCAAGTCCATGCCCAAAGAGTCGCTCTTGATTCACGAGACGAACTTCAAGTATGGAGATTACAGCGAGAACAGGGAAATTGACCTCGAGTTCAAAGTGCCCAAGGAGGTGCAGCGCAACGCGACGCTCCTTGCCCACTTCTACATGGCGCAGAGCGGCAGTGTGCTTGATCCCACGCAGCCGGGCTACGATACCGCAAAGGCTTACCACTTCATTCGACCCTTGTCGCAGTACCAGCCCAAGAAGAAGATTGCAAAGACGAGGAACTTGCTAAGCGATATGCCTGAGAGAAGCGAGGTTGAGACGGAAGAGGAGAAGAATGCGCCCAAGATTATAGCGAACTACTACCACCCCAATTTCACCGTGTCCCTCATCCCCGACTCAGGCACTATGCAGTTCGCCAGTATGCATCCTGGCCCCCGAAAATACATTACGCTTGAAGCGACTGGTGCGCGAGATGAGACGGGTCAGCACGGCTGGTACTACCCCATCGTCTTTACAAACACGTTTTGGCAGCTTAAAAAAGATATGATTGAGCTCAACGAAACCGTCACAACTATTCCACTTCACGTAAAGCTCAACAACTATGCTCACTGGAAATTCAACATCTTCGCCGCCGTTGATGAGAACCTCAACGCCAATGCCCGAGCTGCGGCCGCTGGCCAGTCTACACCTGGAGGCGGCGACGGCTCCGAGATGGAAATGTTCAAGGAAATCATTATCGACAGCAACTCGTACCTCCTTGCCGTCACCGCAGTCGTCTCCATCTTCCACATGATTTTCGAAATGCTCGCCTTCAAGAACGACGTGCAGCACTGGCGCAAGAAGAAGGACAACGTCGGCACCTCTGTCCGCACCATCCTCGCAAACGTTGTCATGCAAGCCATCATCTTCCTCTACCTCATCGACAACAATGAAAACACCTCGTACATGATCCTCTTCGGCCAAGGCATGGGTATGGCCATTGAAGCCTGGAAAATCACAAAATCCGTAAACGTCCGCGTCCGCCCTACAGCTCCTGGTTCCCTCATCCCTTACACCGTCGTCTTCGAAGACAAGCATGTGCTCTCCGAGACCGAAAAGAAGACCGAGGAATATGACGCCATCGCCTTCAAGTACCTCTACATGGTTGCCCTTCCCCTCCTCGTCGCCTACGCAATCTACTCCCTCATGTACGAATCCCACAAGTCGTGGTACTCCTTCATCATCACTACGCTCGTTGGATCCGTCTACGCATACGGCTTCCTCATGATGGTCCCAGCGCTCTACATCAACTACAGACTCCAGTCCGTAGCACACATGCCCGGCCGCGCAATGACGTACAAGTTCCTCAACACTTTCATCGACGACCTGTTTGCCTTCACCATCAAGATGCCTACGCTGCATCGTCTTGCCACGCTCCGTGACGATGTCATTTTCTTCGTGTATCTGTTTCAGACGTGGAAGTACAAGGTTGATTACAACCGTGTTAATGAGTTCGGGCAGGGTGGCGATGATGAGGAGGTCGAGGAGAAGGATGCGAATAAGCCGCTTGCGGCGCATCCCGATGGTGATAAGTCGTTGAAGGTGCCGGATGCACAGAAGGTAGAGGAGGTGGCCAAGGAGAAGGAGCAGGCGGCTGCTACAGGGAGTGAGAAGAAGGGTAAAGTGACGAAGAGAAAGTAGAGGATCAGAGGAAGACTCTTCTTTTGCCTTTCTTTTTTTCGTTGCTCAGGGAGGAAGTAATAGGAAAAGCTTTTGTTGTCGTCATGTAGTATTCGTTTGAAGGCTTAAATGTAGTACATGGCGATGCCTATTGTTTCCCCGATGACACACAAATATATAATTGCACATGACATTATCAATTAGCAATACTATACACAAGACCACTTCTTTCTTCAAATATACACGAAGCAAAAGGTACCTTGTTTACACAGCAAAAAAAGAGTTTCGCAAGAGCTGCCACAACGCCTTGCAATGCTTTGAACATATGCCGAAAGCGAAAAAGAGTTTTTTTCCTCCCTCGCCACCCCACTGTTAGACTTAAAACGTATAAAAGTCGGGAAAAGAGCCCCCAAGGGAATTCCCGCATATGCATATCGGGAATTAATTACTGTGGAAATATCATGAAAAGCCGGGGAGTTGGAAGCCGAACCCAGGTACAGCCGGCGGAACTGCAACACCCTGATCAGCCCTAGGCGATACATGGCGGGGATCATTAGCGTTTCCTCGGTCATGCTTGCGGAACTTGTGTTGGGCGGCATTCTCAGGCCCGGGGCGTGCGCCGCCGGGGTTGTTGGGTGCAGCATCGGCGCGCTCGTTCAAGTTCTCACGTCCGTTAGAGTTGCCACGTCCAGCATGGTCTCCACGGGCACCGTAGCCCCCACGCCCACCGCGAGGGGCATCGGTCGGCACACGTCGGCTGATGGCTGTGATTTTGTTAGCGGTAACCCCCATGCGACGAGAAGACAGGCATACCCTTGGAAGAAACACCAGCCCCAATCTCGATATCCGGCTCCTCGATTACCATGCCACCTTCGAGAGCACGACCACCAGTTCCGCCATACTCGGCGGTCAGTGCCCATTTACGATCAGCCTCGGTAAGCCGGGAGATGGGAATCACACTGATACCCG